GTTCGGAGAGTGCACCCCCAGGTCTCGCCTCACTACCCAGACCCGGAGAGACAGCGCGGGAGCGCGCCGGCTCCCCTCCCCCGCTGGGCTCAGGCCCCAGTCGAGGCGCACGAAGGCCACGTCCCCGGGGACGGGCGCCCGACTCTATGGTCCGCGCACAGGCCCGCCGGCACACGTGACCTGTGAGAGCCAATCGAGGCGGGCGTCCGACCATCGAGACGACGGCGGCCCGGAGCAAGAGCGGCCCCGCAGATCGGCCGGCCCGCCGTCCCCTCCCCGGCCCTGCTCCAGCGCTCCCAGCTCGGTGCTGCCGCCATCTTCCTGGAGGAGAGGGCCAGAGGCGAAGGCGCCCCTCCCGGCGGTCGCTCCGCACTCTTACCGCCTCCTGCCCTCCCCTGACCGCCTCTCTTCCTCAGCAGTCACTTATCTCCTTCTAAAGAAACTCCCTCCCCCCCAGTTTAGTTACCCACAGGCGAAGAATCACATTACCTGTTCCAGTCTTACCGGCGTAAAGAAATCAGGCTTACAAGGTGGGAACCGTGGAGAAACAGGGACAAGCCGCCATCTTGGTAAAGGAGAAGAGGCTACGCTTGACCTCCCCCCCACCCCCAGCATCTATATGGCCAACCGCCGTGGGAGGGGCACAGCGCCTGCGCAGAGGCGGAAAACGCGGACGAGCCTGCGCCTGCGCACTGAGAAACCGGCGCATGGGGGAGGGGAGGAAGAACGGGTCGCGTCAAGGGAAGGAAAGCGTTGGCAAAGGGGCGGGGCGACGTGATGACGCCATCCCCGCCAGAGGGGCGGGGCGTGAGCGGACGGCGGGCGCTGGGTGGCTCCGCGGTGCGGTCGGTCGACTCATCTTCAACGGCTCCTCGGCGGTGAGTGTCCCGCCGTGGGTCTGCTCCTCTGCCGCCGGGGTGCGAGCTGTGGGCTGACACAGAAGGGGCAGGGAGCCCGCTCGCCGCGGCGGTCAGCCGTGCGGGGAAGCGCGCGGGCGGGGTGACCGCGCGGGGTGGGGGAGGGGCTGTCGGCCTGGGGTCCTGGGCCTTCCCCCGGCCTTCCGGGCTCTCCTCTGCCTTCTCCGTCCCTCCCCCGCCCTCCTTTGCTCCCTCTCGGGGCCCCCGACCCCCGGGAGCCCTGCCTTGGGCGGAAGCGACGGGGCGTGTCCCGGGAGAACCGTGACCCTTTGCTCAGCTCGTGGGAGAATCCCGTGGAACAGTCTCTGTCGTTGGCCCGGGTGCCGGACGTGCAGCCGGCGGTCCTGGTCCGGGCGGGAGAGTGCAGGTTGTGGCCCGTCAGGCACTTCTGTCGTGCGGCCGTCCTTTTGTCGCCCTGACCCGGCCCCTCCCGCCCGCCAGCCCCGGCAGGGCAGGCCTCGGGAAGCCCCCGCCGCCGCGCTTGCTTTGCAGGCGGTCCCTGGCCGCGGGCGTGGAGCCGGGGGAGGAGCCCCTGCCCGGTGCGGGCCGCTTCCCGGGGCCTGGGGCGAGGAGGCCGACTTGCGTCCGCCGCTGCTTCCCGTCCAGCCCCGGATCCCGTGGCCCACAAGACCTGGCCGCCACTTATTTTCCGCCTCACTTTTTGCCAGTATCCCCCCTAACTTGTCTGCTCCCTATAGACACGTGATTCAGCCACACTGAACTGGCTCGAACCGCTGTGGTCTTGTTCACTTTGGGCTTTGGCCCGAGCCCTTTCTTTTGTCTGGGACCCAGTTATCTCCCTGTCTTCTCTGCCTTTTTCTTGCCTAGTGTCAGTTCTGCTATTCAGGACTTGGCCCAGATCAGATTTCCTGCGGCTGGGGTAGGAGTTGGCCTTATGTCAGCCTCGGTCATACTGTTGGTGGTGGTGCTCCAGTCCAGACTCCTGTGAGGGGCATGGGATGTGTGAATGTAGTCGCCCTTACCCATGCCTAGCACAGTGACCCCCCCAGTAGTAAGTTCTCAAGTATTTATCGAACAGCTCAAGTTGTTAGAATATCTCAGGATAAGTATAATGTTCCAGAACAGACTTATTACAATAAGGAGAGATACATAATGGTGTGAGGGGTCATGAAAACTGCTTTCTGGTGTTTGTAGTTGGAGGTTCGTGATTTCCACATTTGCTAGTTTGGAGAAGGCTTTCTTTGCATCACCCAGCATCTGAACTTGCTGTGTGTGTGCTGGTCTGTCAAATCTTGGCAATGATTGGGGCTATAAAAGGATATCCTGACACTTTCCACTTTCCACCTTGATCTCTTACCCAGCACAGCAGCCCAGAGTAAAAAACAAGGGCTTTTTAAATTAAATCAGGTTTGCTCTTGAACTAGCAGGATGACCTAGGGAGTTGAGGGGATGCGGGAAACCTCCCTCGATCATTCATAAATGTGATTGAGGCCCCTTTCTATACTCAGCTGTAAAGACAAACACTGAAAAGTTTTTGTTCTTTTCCCAGAGAGGGAACACCAAACTCACTTGGCAGCAGAACTGAGTTGCATCCATTTGTGTAGTTGGTATTTGTCCCACTTCTTGCTAATGGTAACACATGTTGCTGCATAAAATGCATTTGATTTCGGGGTGTTGCCCCAGCTGCCATTGAGGTTGTTATGTGGCACACTGTACCGTGTACCTTCTTCAGATCCAACGAATCTGAATGCCAGAACATCCGGAGGGCTCTGACCAACCTCCTGGGTCCTCTATGGCAGGGTCATGTTGTGGACTGGGATAATGTATGTAAATATAAGAGTAATGTGTCAGTAAATGGTGGATATGGGTAGTCCATTAAAATACATTCCTCCAGCAGAACATGTTTATGTTGCCAAGAATCCAGATTTATCTGTCTGTTGTCATCTTTTGTCTTGGAAAAGTTGATTTCTTCTGTGTGAATTGGGGTGGGAGTATTGCTTTGTGGAAGAAGGAAACCATGAGTCAAGGAGAAAAAAATTTTAAACAAGTTCTATCATCTGGAATGCTACAGTGAACACAAACTGAAAGAATAAATTATTCATTTGACTGCATTTCTGAGGTTTTGGGGGGATCCAGTTAGTCTGCACCCAAATTTAAATTAATCAGTGTTCGGCATTCTGTGTTGTTAGATCAAGGCTTTTTCACTGGAAACCGGGTGCTTCAGCTTTAGCTTCAGTCAATGGCATAAAGAAAAGTAGCTGAAAATTCTGAAAGTTATATAACTGCTCTGAAGAAGATTTAAGCAACTTCTATTTATTTATTTATTTTTAATTTTCTTATTCTTACCTGAGGATATTTTTGCATTTATCTTCAGATAGAGCGGGAAGGAGACACATCGAGTGGTTGCCACCCACACAACCCCAACCGAGGCCAGGGACAAACTGCAACTGAGGTACATGCCCTTAGTGGGAACTGAACCCAGGACTCTCTGGTCTGCAGGCCAATGCCCTAACTGCAGAGCAAAACTGGCCGGGGCGATTTAAGCAACTTTTAAAAGACATTTTTATAGGAGATGTTCACAAATCATGCCCTATTAAAACGGCAGTGGGGAGCCTTGGCCAGGTGGCTCAGTTGGTTAGAACATCATCCCAATATACCAAGGTTGTGGATTCCATCCCCATTCAGGGCCCAAACAAGAAACGACCATTGAATGCATAAATAAGCAGAATAACAAATCAATTTCTCTCTCTCTCTCTCAAAATCAATAAATAATTTGTTTTAGAAAAATAGCCCTTGCTGGTGTGGTTCAGTTGGTAGAGTGTCATGCTGTACACCAAAAGGTTGCCAGTTCGATTTCCAGTCAGGGCACTTGCCTGGGTTGCAGACATCATCCCCAGTAGGGGGCATGCAAGAGGCAGCTGATCAATGTTTCTGTCTCAGATGTTTCTCAATTCCTCTCTTCTTCTCTCTAAATATCAGTAAGATTTAAAAAATCAACAAAATAACTCAGTAGACGGGTAAATAAGTCCAGAAACTGGTTCTTTGAAACAAATTCCTTAGACATCTCGTTAAGAAAAAAAGCATCTCTGGCCTGTTTTGTTCAGTGGTTAGAGCATCCGCCCTCAGACTGAAGGAGTCTCAGGTTCGATTCAGATCAAGGGCACCTACCTGGGTTGCGGGTTCAATCCTCAGCCTTGGTCAGGTTGTACAGGAGGCAGCCAGTCAATGTCTCCCACATCCATGTCTTCCTTCCTCCCTCCACTCTTTAAACTTGAATTTTAGAAAAATAGAAAGAAAAGGAAAACAAATACATATAGAAAAGAAGGTTTAATCACAGACACAGGAGACTACATATATCAAGATGGCCACACATTTGAAAATCTGAGGGTAAGGTTCTACCAATGAAAAGGAACCAAAACAACAGAATTAGAGCTGAATTCCATCCAACCCCGAACAGATAAACCAGTGTCACATGAGACGCTACTTAAAAAGGGGAAGCATTTCTAATTTACTTTATGAAGATAGCACTTTAGTAACAAACCCAGATGGAGACCTTAAGAAAGCAACCTAGCTGGCTATAGGTCTATCTCACTCATGAATGTAAATGGCAATTTTTTCAATGACATATTTTCTGGCAGTTAGATTCTAGAAATGTACCTAAAGCATGGCTGTTAGAACAAATTAAAGGAGAAAATTTTATGTGGATAAATGCTGAAGAGAGATAAAATGCAGCAAATGTGTAATGAAAACATTAAGGGTATTACCATAAACCAGTGACAGTTGTTTTTCTGTAATCCATCTGTTTATCTTGCCCAGCATTCCTATTTTCATTTAATTTACCTTATTTTCACCACCTAGGCTGAGAGTATTTTGGATAACCTAGATCTAGGCTTCACCTGATACTCCTCCTTCCCACCCTTAGTAATGATGTGTCATAGTAAAAAGCAGTTTACAGACTGTTAAAGTGGTCATCTCACCCTCTTCTTCCTCCCCCGTCTCATTACTCCAGACAGGTGAGAAGTCATCCAGTGGGCCACTAAAAAGAACCGAGAGTAAAGCCTTTTGTGACATAATACCATAGAGTTAAAGGTTTACAGATCCTATTTTTTAAATTTAATCCTCATCCAAGGATATTTTTCCATTGATTTTTTTCATATAGAGTGTAGGGGATTTGCGGGGGAAACATTGATATGGCTCACATCGATTAGATGCCTCCCATACAACCACAACCAGGCTGGGGATTAAACCTGCAACCCAGGTATGTGCCCTTCAACAGGAATGGAACCCGAGAAGATGAGCCAAACTGGCCAGGGCTTACAAATCCTATCTTAAGCTTGGTTAACCAAACCATACATGGGGTGCAGGGGCCTCATTTCTTCAGAGTTGGTTGGAAACATTGCCATTTGGAAGGGAAACTTCAAATCTGCAGTATTCAGGAATGTTCAGGTTTGGGGGAAATGAGGGACAGGAAATTGAAAGAAGCTTTCTAATGAAGTTCTAAGCTCCAGAGGGAATAAAATTTGATTGCATTCATATCTCTTGACTTTGTTACTAAAGGTTAGCCAACAGACCCCACATTTCCCATAGTTTCAAGGCTTCTAAAATTCATATTAAAATTCCAAGTAACTCTAAAACTGTCACATTTCTCAAACGCTCAAGTGCCTTCAGTCCCTTTTCCTTTGTTATAAATGTAGTTCATGTTGCTCTGTATGCCCCAGTGTCCAGATCTAGTTCTCTTGAGCTCTGGGAGTCCGAAGCTGGCAGTGGTCTCCAGGAAACCCTTCCTTGTTGAAAGGTTCAAAGAGACTCGTGGGACCCTGTCTTCTGGTGTGACCAGTGACCATAGTGCCTAACTTATAACTCATTGTTAAAAAAAGTCTGAATATTCTTGTAAATATGGGTACATAGTTATACATAGATAGGATGTGGTTGCTTTCATGAACTAATTATATCTAATTTATAAAGAGAAAATTTTATTTCGGGGGAAGTATTTGATGTAATTGAGAAACTAAAACAAGTGTTGAAACCCTATGTGTAAGTAAGTCTTTTTCATGTGATTTCATGCTAAGTGAAGTACCTGTATGCGTAATGGAAATTTGCACGTGTTTTTTTACAGATTGACGAACTTCACTGAAGATGTCTAAGGTAAGGACTTATATTTCCTGTATCTACAGTGTGAGAAGAAACTGCTTTATGTTCTCAAGTTGTTTATAGTCAAAACGTATGATGCATTACTTTAATAACACTAATCAATTCATTAAGACAGAATTCTAATTTTTTTGTCCTAAAAAGCTTTGAGCTTTTTTCTTTTTTTTAGATTGCCAATTTCTTGTTTCTAAATACATCAAGAACAATCCATTTAGCCTCCATAGATCATTTCTTGCAGACTAATCAAATAATAATGTAAAATTCTAATAATTTCTCATGAGAAAATGATGAGGCTCTTTGACTTGATAAATTGGCTTATATTAGCTCTTGCAGATTAGCCCAGAATAGTTCTAAAAGACTTGAAGGGGAGCCATGGATCAGAGAGTCGTGGGTTCAATTCCAATCAAAGGCACATACCTTGGTTACTGTTCAGTCCCCAGCCCTGGTCAGGGTCCATTGGAAGGCAACCAATCAATGCGTCTGTCTCACATCAGTGTTTCTCTCTTCCTCACTTCCACTCTAGATTTTTTTTTTATTTTAAAGCCTCACACAAGGACACTTTTTCCGTTTTTGTTCAGATAGAGTAGGAAGTGGGGGGGAGAGGAGAGAAACATCAACGTGAGAGAGACACATCAGTTGGTTGCCTCCCACAGGACCCCAACCAGGGCTGGGGATTTAACCACAACCGAAGTACGTGCCCTTGGCCAGAATTGAGCCCGTGACTCATCAGTTCACGACCTGATGCTCTAACCACTGAGCAAAACCATCCAGGGCACTCCCTTCCACTCTAAAAAAATTAAAGACGTGGAGGAAAGTAGAACTTGTAGTACAAGATTATTATTTTTGCCTTTTGTTTTTGAGCTTTGAGTATTAGTATCTGATGCATAAGCAACATGCTGAGTTTTGCTTTTTTACAAGTATTAGTGTGGAACACCAGTAAGAAAATAAAAGTTAACCATAATCCCTATCACCCAGAAATAATATAGGTTCTTGTGAATAGTCTTATTACTTGTGTGCACAGGTGAAGATACATTAGAAAGTAAATAAATCAGTCCGGCCGGTGTGGTTCAGTGGTTGAGTGTCGACCCATGCACCAAGAGGTCATTGGTTCGGTTCCTGGTCAGGGCACATGCCCAGGTTGTGGGCCAAATCCCCAGTGGGAAGCATGCAGGAGGCGGCCAATCAATGTTCTCTCTCATTGATATTTCTCCCTCTCTCTCTTCCCTCTCCCTTCCTCTCTCTCTGAAAATCAATAAAGAAGAAAAAAGTAAATAAATCAATGTCTTGACTTCCTCCCATTTATAGTGTGCCACTGCGCAGTTCCAGAGGTTTACTTACTTTGTCCCGTGTCCATCTGTTCCTCATCAGGTGTCCGTCTGTCAGGGAGTATTGACACTAAGCATTGTCAGCTATGTCTCTTATTCTCGATCTTGTCTGTCTTGATCTTTGAGGGGGTAGGTAGTCAAAATCCCACCCCTAAGTTGCCTGCCCACCCTTGGTGAGACTTGTCCCATAGAGTTAAGAGTATAGCAAGAGATGATTTTATCCTGGGTACTTTTCATAAATGCACCTGATAAATTTTTATTTTACGTATTGCTTAATTGCTTAACAGAAACGTAATTTTTAGGTCAGCATATAGGTACGGAATAATATTGGGTTGGTTTTTCTTCTTTATAATAAATGTTCTTAAGTGAAGACCATTAGTTTTCTGATAGAAGTGACTTTTGGAAAGTATTTATATACTTTATATCTATTAAGTTATTGAGAAGGAGCGATACCTGTCTTTGTCACAGCTTGATGATTATGTCTTATAAGCAACTGATAAGGTATTTATTCTCTCTCTCTCTCTCTCTCTCTTTTGGTAAAATCTTATTTTAGCAACAACAAACTCAATTTATAAATCCAGAAACTCCTGGCTATGTTGGATTTGCAAATCTTCCTAATCAAGTTCACCGAAAATCAGTGAAAAAAGGTTTTGAGTTCACACTGATGGTTGTCGGTAAGAAACTTTTACTTTCAAGCTTATGAACTATGTGGCTATCTGCCTTCCCGACCTGTGGAGTGTAATGATAGTATGACTGCAAAGTCATAAAATTCTTTGTTGGCAGAATCAAATAACTTGGGGATTTGGAGTGGGGGGATTCTTTAGAACATTTTGCTTGAGAGTAAAATAACAATTTTTTTGTCATTTATTTATATGTGGTGATCGTTTTTTGTTTGTTTTTTTGTCCTCACCCGAGGACATTTTTGCATTTATCTTCAGATAGAGCGGGAGGAAGAGAGGGGCGAAGAGAGAGAGAGAAATATCGATGTGAGAGAGACACATCACCTGGTTGCCACCCACATGACCCCAACCGGGGCTAGGGACAAACTGCATCTGAGGTACATGCCCTTAGTGAGAACCGAACCTGGGACTCTTCAGTCCGCGGGCCGACACTAACCGCTGAGCCAAATTGGCCAGGGCTATAGTGATCGTTTTTAATTATTGTGGCAGCCAGCCTCCAAAATGTCACCCACTGATCCTTGCTTCATGATATTCATGCAGCTTTCTAGCCCCCTCCCCCACTGAATAAGGTTTAACTGTATCCAGTAGGACATTGCAGAAAGGTGTGTGACTTCGAGACTGGGTCACCAAATGCATTGTGCTTCTACCTTGCCTTCTCTTGGCTCCCCTAGGGATAGCCTGCCACCATGTTGGGAAGACACTCAAGCAGCCTTATAGTGAAGTCCCACGAGGCAGGTAATAGGCCTGCCAGTAGTCATATGGTGACCCATCTCAGAAACATCCCGCAGCCCCAGTTAAGCCTGCAGTTAAGCCATCCTGGCTGACATTCACTATTACTTCATGAGAGACCCCCCCCCCCCAAGCCATAACTACCCACCACAGACAGATTCTTGAGCAAATTCCATGAAGTAATAATGTTTATTGTTGGCTTAGGCCTCCGAGTTTTACGGTAATTTGTTACATATGAATAGATAATAAATTTCGTTAGAAATATGTTTCTTTAATACTCAAAAAAAAACTTACATTTTTGTGGTGGATATATTTTTTAACAAGTAACAATTCTTACTATACAAGTTTCTTTTATTTATTTTTTTATCCTTACCCAAGGATTTTTTTTTTTTTTCATTTATCTTCAGACAACGGGAGGCGGAGGGGGGGAAGGGAGGGAGAGAGAGAAATATTGATTCGAGAGAGAGACATCGACTGGTTGCCACCCACAAGACCCCACGCGGGGGCCAGGGACAAATCGCAACCGAGGTACGTGCCCTTAGCAGGAACCGAAGCCAGGTCTCTCTGGTCCGCGGGCCACCACTCTAACCACTGAGCCAAACTGGTCAGGGCTCTTTTAATTATTTTTTTTATCCTCCCCCGAGGACATTTTTCCATTTTTTTGTTCAGATAGAGTGGGAGGGAGAGAGAGAGAAACATTGGCGTGAAAGGGACACATCGAGTGGTTGCCACCCACATGACCCAACCAGGGCCGGGGACAAACTGCAACTGAGGTACATGCCCTTAGTGGGAACCGAACCCGGGTCTCTCTGGACCGCAGGCCGACGCTCTAACCGCTGAGCCAAACCGACCAGGGCCTCTTTTAATTATTAAAGTTGTTTGAAATTGAGTGATTACATGATATTTTTCCTGTTATCAGATATATTTTTTCATGAGTTAATAGCATATATTGTGTTTCAGCATGACCACAACAAGCTTATCTACTTTTCTGCTTGCCCTATCACATTTCATTCTTTGTTGCTGCTGTTACTCTTTACCCAAGGATGTTTTTTATATTGATTTTTAGAGGGAAGGAGAGAAACATCAATGTGGGAGAAGACACATAGATCGGTTGCCTCTTGAATGCACCCTGACCAAGGCCGGGGATGGAACCTGCAATCCAGGTACATGCCCTTGACCAGGAATTGAACCCTGACCCTCAGGTCCAAGGGCTGACACTTTAACCACTGAGCCACACCAGTCATTGCCACATTTTATTCTTAATAATTAAAATTCTCCCCCAAATGAGGAGGTAGTTTGATGATGAGTAGAAGAAATGACTGTAGCCAAGGGTGAATAGTTCATAAATCTGAAATGAGAGAAACAGTGGGACCCTTGGTTCAGAGAAGGGAATGGTGGCATGTTTTAGGATCACAGTTACATGATCATGATAATGCAGATTCAAGTTCCTGATAGAAGAGAGAAATTCAGTGTTACTTCTTTGTAAAGCATTATTAAAACAGGCAATAACTTTTGCTTCTGGCCATGATGGAAAAATTCACAGGGCCCAGGTAGTGAGTATTTCAGGCGTTGTGAACTATACAGTTTTTGGTGGAGCCATTCAACTCTGATGTGATCATGGGAAACAGCTGTGTTCCAGTGACGCTTTGTTTACAAGTAGTGGGCTGGATTTGCACTGAGGTTCATCGTTTGCTGCTCCCTGAAATAATTCTTACCAGACCAATTTTGGCACAAATAACTAAAGGCTTGTCAAAATATAGAAAACAGCTCTTAAGATGTTCTGTGGTGGTCAATGCAAGTCCTTGAGAGAAGGAAAACAAATTATATGAACTGTAAAGTCATTTTAGCTTTATTCTGTGCACCTGCTCCTACCTGGGAAGGGCTCATTTGGTCAGAGCACAAGCGTCTCAGAGCTGAAGGACTTGGTCACCGTTCAGAGCTGAGTTCCTGGACCCTGAGGCCGTACTGCAGTTCCAAAGACAGCCAGGACTCTAGAAATCTGCATGGGGTTCCCTTGGACACTGGCTGACACTCAAATTCCAGGTGACTGGGCAAACCATAACCACCAGGAGAGCGAGCTGAACTGGAAACCGTGTGGAGTTGGAGAGGTGGAATGGGGTCAGGAGACATTAGAATTTCAGCCAAGCAGAGGGGACATCAGTGAACATCCAGGACATTCCATAGAAACTTCAGAAAGTACTTGGGTTAAATCAGAAAGAAAGGTTGTTTTAAAACCTCCTAGACAAAGCTTTTAAACAAGAATCATTACTTGGTAGAGAAGGAAATCAAAATCTAGTCATTTACAGTGTACATTCACAGTATCTAGTATCCAATAGAAAATTATTGGGTATGCAAAGAAGCAAAAACCAAAATGTGGCATATAAATTGAGAGAAATCAGACAAGAGAAATGACAAATTCTAGAATGGGCAGACAAGAACTTAAGTATTTAAAATATGCTTCTGCACTCTAAGGAGAACAAGAATATAATGCACTAAATAGAAGAAAACAAAAAAGAACCAAATGGAACCTCTAGAGATTAAAAAAACACCACCTCTGAGATGAAAATTTTTCTGATGGGCCAACAACAAATTACAGAGTGCAGAAGAAATAGAGCAGTCAAAAACATCTATACTAAAATCAACACCATGCATAATAAATACCAAGAACAGCAGATAGGTGAAGACCACTGATAAACGGGAAAACATCTTTTTTTTTTTATCCTCACTCGAGGACATTTTTCATTTTTTTGTTTAGATAGAGTGGGGGAGAGAGAGAGAAACATCCACGTGAAAGGGACACATCGAGTGGCTGCCACCCGCATGATCAACCAGGGCCGGGGACAAACTGCAACTGAGGTATGCACCCCAGTGGGAACCGAAACCCGGTCTCTCTTGACTGCAGACCAATGCTCTAACCGCTGAGCCAAATCAGCCAGGGCGAAACGGGAAAATATCTTAAAAGTAGCCCCCCAAAAAGACACGTTACATGCAGAGGTTGAAAGGTAAGAAGGCCACCTACTTCTCAGTAATAACATAAGCTCTGGTGCGTGACAGCTTTAAGTACTCAAGGAACAAAACTCAACCTAGAAGTGTTCACCAAAAGTAACTTTTAAGATGAAAGTTAAAGTTGAAAGACATTTTTAGATAAATAAAGTGATAGACTTTATGGCTATCAGACCTGCACCATAGGAGATACTTAGTGAAGTTCTGCAGGTGGCAGGAGAAGGGAGAGCACTGGGAGTGGCAAATGTTGTATAAAAGTCCTCTTCTTAATTGTTCTAAAGAGAGCTGACTGGAAACAAAGCTAACACAACCACATGGGAATAACGGACACAGCACAAAGGACAGGAGTGAGTGGAAGCTTGCTGGCGTCTGTCCACTCGTGCTGTAGGTGAAGCGATAGCATGCTCTAAAGGAAGAGCAAAATTCAAGTGAATGTACGCCACAGGGCAGCTATGACAGACTTGAACACAACCACGTTAATAATTATATGTTAGTAGACAAGGCAAAGTAAATGGAAGGATGTGTCTAGCAGCAGGAGGGCAGGTCGGCAAATCCTGGACTCAGAGGTGGAACACTGCTCAGGAAACAGACTGCTGGTGGTCAGTAGTACAGAGTAATCTCCAAAGTTAATTACGCTGAGCAGAAGCAGCCAGACAGAAGAGGGCATGAATGAGCCCGAGCATGTGGAGTTCTGGAATAATCAAAACCAGTGTGTAGTGACAAAAAGTAGATTGACGTATGCATGCAGTGGGGCCTGGGGGGTGAGGGGTAATTCCTGAGGGACATGGAATTTGTTTATCTGAGTGTATCCTGTTGTCAAAATTAATCCAACTGGACAGTTTAAATTAGTGCCCATAATTTTATGTTTAATTGAGCTATGTATAAAGGATACATAGTGAATTGGAGGGATTAAGGGTAAGGCAGGTAGTGAAAAATAGCTGGAAAGTTCACAAAAACCTAAACTTTTAAATTGTGACTATTAGCAGCTTAAGAAAAATGGTGTGTCAGGAATACCCCAGCACACCCAACTTGTGAGTTAGACTATTGGGGAGGAAAGGTGTAATTTTTTAAAATTATGGCACACTTCTAAAGAAATGAGAAACTTCACAAAATGGTTTGAGTATATGGAAATGAAAGACCACAAATGTTTGGGCAGCAAGGATAGGCAAGGAATCTGAAATCGCAAGTTGTTTATAGACATCAAGGAAGGAAGCTAGGTGGCAGGTCATCCATGAGAGAATGTGACCAGGCTGTTGACAAGTACCCAAGTGGTGACACTTGGTGATAACTGATATAGTTATTAGCCTCCCACAATTATGTGGGCTGGTGGCTCAATTTATAAGAAAAGCAATTTAAATATATAAAGCTTATTGCCAAATATGTTACCTTGTAGACCAGTGGTTCTCAACCTTCCTAATGCCACGACCCTTTAATACAGTTCCTCTTGTTGTGACCCCCAACCATAAAGTTATTTTTGTTGCTACTTCATAACTGTAATTTTGCTACTGTTATGAATCGCCATCAGAAATGTGTGTTTTCTGATGTTCTTAGGCGACCCCTGTGAAAGGGTCATTCGACCCCCAAAGGGGTCGCGACCCACAGGTTGAGAATCGCTGTCAGGTAGACAGTAGAATGCTTAGTGTGACCAAAATCACAAGAGCGTTAGAGTGAACACTGAGAAAATGAAACCTGGGCTTAAGCAGAAATATGCTAACGTAATTGTAGGTTTAGGAGTTGTTTGAATGGGCAGAAAAGTTGGCCACTTAGAGTGCTCCCATTCAGGGGCCTTCAGGAAAGGCCCTTGTTACACATTGAGGAAGCAGTTTCTTGTGTTGGTTAAAATCAAAAGTAAATGTGAACCCAGCTGGTGTGGCTCAGTGGATCAAGCATCAACCCATGGACTGAGAGGTCCTGGTTTGAATCCCAGTCAGGGCACACGCCGAGGTTGCGGGTTCCATCCCTGGTAAGGGGTGTGCAGAAAGCAGCCAATTTATGTTCCTGTCTTTTCCTTTCCCTTCTCTCTCTAAAAAATCAATAGAAATACACATATATCTTAAAGTAAATGTGAATAAAAACTTTCCCAGGTTAGGAAGCTCTTTATTTACTAGCATTCCTGGCTTGGCCTAAGTTTTGTTATTTTGGGGTTTGTTTGTTTTTTAGCCCAGGTTTAAAAAAATAAAACCTCATTCCTGGGCAGGTGGCTTGCAGTTGATTGGAGCATCGTCCTGTACACCAAGAGGTTGGGGGTTCGATTCCCAGTCAGGGCACTTAACCAATCCGTGTTTTCCCCCCTTCCTCTCTCTAAAATCAATAAAAACAAGTCCTCGGGTGAGGATTAAAAAATAATAAAACCTCATTTAAATTAAGATCTAAAGCGTCTGACAGTTTGCCTGATAGGTAGTGTGGTGAAAGCAAGCTCCACTTTTCTCACCATCGCATATTTTTCATGTCGTGGCGCCACCTGGTGCCCGATGCTGAGTATTTCCTTCTAGTAGGTGCAGAGGAGCCATTTTCTAAACGCTGAGCACCACTGTCACCACTTTATGGGATGACTCCACTGAGGGTGCCGGCCCAGTGTGTTTTGTGTAAAATTTGTGGATGGTGATGCGTTTACACTGGTTCAGATGTTTTGTGAGCGTTTCCCGTGTTGAAAGGCGCGTGACTGAGAAACCCCCACTGGGGGAGCTGAGTGGCAGTGGAGCAGGGCAGAGCTGGGCGCTCACAGAACTCAGCTCCTGGTGCCAGCAGCTCTGAGTTGGCAGAGGATTTGTGGATGTTATCTCAGCTATCCCAAGGGAAATACTCCCACCCTTAAAGTTAAGATTTTAGAAGTTAGCCCTGGCCAGTGTGGCTCTGTGGTTAGAGCGTTGGCCCTTGCAACCGAAGGGTTGAGTGAGGGTTTATCCCGGTCAAGGGCAGGTAGCTGGTTTAGCAGGTTCAATCCCCGGCCCCATTTGGGGTATGTGCAGAAGGCAACCAGTGGATGTGTCTCTCTCATATCGGTGTTTTTCTCTCCCTTCCTCCCTGCCACTCTCCAAAAATCATTGGAAAATATATCCTCGGGTGAGGATTTAAAAACAAATTTTTTTTAGAATTTAGAGTCAGTCACCGGGGTTTTAATACCGCTTCTGAAAAGAGACTGTTCCTACTTCAACACTTGTGCTCAGATGTCTTCTACATGATAGACCGCTTTCAGCTGTCAGCAGTCAGCAGTGCTAGAGAGCAACTTGGCCTCTGCCCCACTGGACTGCAGAGTGCCACGGGCAGGGACGTCTGTCCTGCTTTCTGCTGTCCCAGCACCAGCCCTGTTCCAGGGACGCAGAAAGGACTTAGCACAGATTGGTCAGACCCCGTTCAAGTGTGGTAAAGATGTAGGGATTGCCGGACATTTTATTCAAAGGGTAACTTGACAGGATAGTGTGTGTTCAGTCACATTTTTTATGCCTTTATATTGGGACGTGTTCACATGTAATTCTGGTTTTTCCTTTTGATGTTCTTTCATCTGTGAACATTGAAGTCTAATTCAAGTGTAGTCCTAATTTATATATTTGCACATTTTACACTCTTGTTCTTGATTTTCTCAACAACAATGATTTTTAAAACGTGTGTGCTCCTTTTTCGTATCCTACGGGACTCAGCTGAGGAAGGTTCAAACCCAGATGCCCGAGAGACACAAGTTTAGAAGCACTTCTCCATGCAAAGTTAAGCCGTAGGTGGTACCCGCCATAAAGTGGGGAATCTGTTCACACTTCTTCAAGTATAAGGTTCAGTTTTTGGTATTTTGCATTATCTTTTAAGTTAAATTTAAAACACTCAGAATACCTAGTTACAGTAGTTGAAGAGGAATTCTCGACTCATTAAATGTAGAGAAAACACATGCTGCCCAAGTTGGTCATCCCACACGCAACAGTGCAAGGGGCGAAGTTGCCTGACGTGGGCAGTTGCCAGTGTTGGGATTTGGAGGTGTTCAAAACAGGAAGTGGGGAGGGGCGGGCTCCTGCCTTGTTGACCAGGAAGGGGGATCTCGATGTTTGTCCTGTCTCCTGTTCTCACAGCTTGGGAGTTGTGTGCTGTTGGCATTGGTGAGGAGATGGGTTCAGTTTTCTGAAAATGTGATGCAGTAAATGATTGGAAAACTCATGACTGAAAACCTACTTAGCATTATGTTTATCAAAAGATAAAGACCCCACCCCCTCCAATGTCCATTCCACACATTTGTGAAGAGGCGAAATCACATTTCTGATCTTACAATGTAGGGATTCTGGAACCCCACAGACTGGTTTCAAATTGAGGCCCTTGGGTGCATGACTGACCATGGTGTCCAGAGAAGAGTGTTTTCGGGGCACGTAACCAAGTGCCAAGCCTAGCAAAAACACTCAGTGAACTGTCGTTCTGATAGCATCATGACGATGTCCTCATTTTCATTTAAAGGTGAATCGGGTCTAGGAAAATCAACTCTCATAAACAGCCTGTTCCTGACGGATCTCTACCCAGAAAGAATCATACCTGGAGCTGCAGGTATAAAAGTTTCTACACTCTCACAGTTCACTGTGAAAGTTGCTAAAGAGTGCGTAATTAATATCTGATGCCTGAGCCTTGAGGTTTTGCTTTTGTTCGGCTTGAAACAAGGAAAATGTCTTTTATGCAGGGAAGTGCTGCTGCACCTGCGTCCTTATTCAGGTTATAGACTCTGACAGCATACCCGTGGGTCCAGCCTCTCCAAGTCTTTGTCCATAAAGTGTCATAAATAGTTCCTACTGTGTTCTGTGTATAATGGGAGGATCAAGTGACAGTGTCGCCTCTCGTGGGAAAACTGTGTAACTAGTAGTTGCTGTGGGAGTAGGGGTCTGACTCCAGCTGCTGCTGCTGAGTGTTCCCGGGAGGACACCAGTGTCCGTGAGTGTTGGTTGACAAATGGATTGAGCACAGAGAGCCTAGGACCTGGGCTGCCACGGTGGAGACAAACAGCCAGTCACGGGGATTTCTTAGTTCAATTTTTAAAGGAATTGAGAAATTGTTTTTGTCCCAGGAAAAGAAATAATTTTTCATATTGGCATTTTTACCTTCCCAGGCAGCCCTTTAGTCTTAGCTTCACCGTTTCCCTTGCTGACTCTGGGATCCTTTTTACACAACCCTCAGGTTATCTTCTGAAATCCTTCCTCAAAGAGAAGTAGTAACTTTTAAGTCATTTGTTTGATAATAAGAAAACAAGTAACAGGTAAATTCTTTTTGCAAACTGGCTCAATGTTAAGGCACCATCTCTTACTAAGTTTGTTTCTTTTCTAGAGAAAATTGAAAGAACGGTCCAAATTGAGGCTTCGACTGTTGAGATTGAAGAGCGAGGGGTCAAGCTTCGCCTGACAGTGGTGGATACACCCGGCTATGGTGACGCCATCAACTGCAGGGACTGGTATGCACCCCACAGGGACGGGCACCCAGAAGAGCTGAGGGCTGTGCATGTGTTCACACCTGCTGTGCTGTATTTAAATGTGTGGTGTTGATGAGTGATTATTGGGTGTGGAGTAGTACCTGGATGTGGTAAAATAATGGGACAGTTTACGTCACATTAAGTATGACATTTTAAATAAGGAATTTCACAGAAAATGAGTGTTTTTTTCCTCCAAGAGCATTCTAGTGAGATCTGAGATCGCAGTGTCTAACTTCTGTCATGATCTGAGCCATAGCCAGTGGACATGATATCGGGGTCTAGTATTCCTCCTCTCCATATGCGAGGAAATGAAATCTCAGCTGCTGAAGACTCGGAGCCTGAGAGTGGCTGCTTACTGGCATTTACACAGATAGGGAAGCAAACCGGTGGGAGATGAGAGCAGTCTTCCCAGGACCCTGTCGAGACCCCATTTCATGGGCGGAGATCCCTGGTCCTCCCCAGGAGTATAAAGCATCGAAGTCCAGCACTAGATAGAAAAGGGAGGTGGGGAGAGGCCTCTCTCCTTCAGGAACTGCCCCCCGAAGGTCAGCCTGGCTTCATGCTGCGCTGCTTCCCGTCTCTGCCGCCAGCTCTCGCCCGCGTTCTGCTGCTGCCACCCCATCTCTTGAAAGCATTGGCAGCCCAGACTCTTCACAGTCATCTTGTGATGTCTTCCATTCTCACTGTTGACCCCTGGTCCATAGTGCTTGGCACAGTTTCCAGAGATCTCCCATTTGCCAAATGGAGGAGTCAGTTTCCATTTCCGTCTTACGGATGTTTCCAAATTACATTTGATAGGTAGGGGACAGGGGACAGGAACACTTGTTCTGTCTCTGCGGGCAGGGCCTGCCGCCTTCTGTACCTGGTCCTCAGTGTGTGTGTGTCTCAGCTTCAAGACCATCATCTCCTACATCGACGAGCAGTTCGAGCGCTATCTGCACGATGAGAGCGGCCTGAACCGGCGGCACATCGTGGACAACAGGGTGCACTGCTGCTTCTACTTCATCTCGCCCTTCGGGCACGGACTTAAGCCCTTGGATGTCGCCTTCATGAAGGCGATACACAACAAGGTCAACATCGTGCCTGTCATCGCGAAGGCCGACACGCTCACTCTGAAGGAGCGCGAGCGCTTGAAGAAGAGGGTGAGTGACGGGTGCGCAGCGAAGGGAGTCGGAGGTGTGAGTCGTTTTCACCAACACCTGACACTTGTGATTTTTTAGTGTTTTGCCTTCACAAATGTACCAAATTTCTGCTATGACTCACCTTATGTGAACAGCCCTCAGTGCTTGGGCAGTGTCACGTGCAGCTGCCATGCAGTGTGTGGTGACAGATTGGTTTCAGGAGGCCTGAGGGCCCTGGGCTGCACAGTGATGGTCCTCCAGCACCTCCGGCACTGACCATGGTCTCTGTTCTCCCATAAACTTCATTTACCTTTTAAATTACGTACCTGTTTGTATGCTTATTGAGAAAGTCAGAACTCATATGCCACATTCTACAAATAAGAGTCCCTTTAATTATCCACAGAAATAATCACTGCTAACCGTTATCTGTCCTCCCAGAACATGGTCTCTTTATGTTTTTACAGAACAGGATTATGAATGCCACTTAACTTTCTAAGAACTCCCAGCCCACACACAAAGCTCACCTCTCATTCTTCTCTCTCGTCATGCACAGTGTGTTTCCTCGGTGTGCCTCTGGGCTTCCCACCCACCCCTTAGTCCCTGATATCAGGGATCTTTGGTCGCTTGTGTATTCTAAGAGTTTGGAACAGGACCTTGCATGCGGTCGGCACTGAGAAACGTTTCTGTGCTGAGCAGTGGTCCACATCTGTCTTCTCACAGTTGTAAAGTCAGACAGATTCTTGGAAAGGAAATTGATACACGTTTAAGTATTTAAAAGAGGGCCCTGGCCAGTTTGTCTCAGCGGTTAGAGTGTTGGTCTGTGGATCGGAGGGTTGTGGGTTCGATTCCCAGTCAAGGGCACGTGCCTGGGTTGCAGGCTTGATCCCTAGCCCTGGTCAGTGTCATGCAAGAGGCATCCAATCGATGTGTCTCTCTCACATCGATGTTTCTCTCTCCCTCTTTTTCACGCTATCTAAAAAAAAAATCAATGAAAAAATATCCTTGGGTGAGGATTAATCAAACATATATACATATGTGTGCATATATGTGGGTACATTTGAAAGGTGGCTAAATTTCCTTCAGAACAAGCTTCTAAGTTTACGTTCTCAAAGCAGCATGTGAGCATGCTCTTCCTAGTGTGTCACCAGTTTCTGTCGCGTTTCCTCCGGGTTGCTGGTACGGTGTTGGTGCCCTCGGCGTTCCGTCAGCATTTAGAGCCTCGACTCTCTTCATCGATTTACAGACGCGCTCGCAGCATGACTTGTGTGTACATGTTTTTCTGGCTGTCTCGTATTTTTCAACCACTTCCTTTACTGTCTCAGGTGGTTGCTGGTCTTTTAGGAAATACTCAGGCCCTTGGAGGAGCCCCTGAAAGCTTAGGTGTTTTTATACTTGATAGTGTTTTAGCCATTCCCACTTAAGGGAATCTCACCTTCTGTAGGGTTTTACATTACATTTCAGAGATAGGGGAAGGGGGTGTCAGGGGTACAATGCTTTATACCCATCTCATCTTGTATCCAAAACACCTAGGGCTTGATTTCAAACTCTGAAATAAAATAAAATACTTTGTGCACTAATTTTTTTTTATCTTGGGCCTTTTTAACCCATTCTCTTTATCTGGTTTCTTCTCTGCCCCCAGAGTATCCTCCTCCCTGACCTAAAGAACCTCTCAGACGTCTCCCACCTTCTTTTGTTTTGTGCCCTCTTGTCCCTCTGCCATCTCCCGAATCCCTTTGACTTGAGCTTCACCTGTCCTGCTGCAGTTTCCTCTCTTCAGTGTGGCCAGAAGTTCCATCATCAGCCTTGAGCTTTTCCAGTGGGGTTGCTGGTGCTCCTGAGACTTGTCTTTCTGCTTCTTACCACCTTCCCGTCTTCCTGGTCCCTGAAGATCAGCACTGCTTAATATTATTTGATCATCCCTTGTGGCTTCCCCTCCCTCCTGAGAATCTTACTTCCTTCTCATGTAAAGTACATCCATGACCAGGAGTCCTTCTTTCCCCTCATGGGCTTCTCTCCCAGCTTCCCTGGTGCTGGAACTGGGCCCTCAGCTCCTGCAGTGACCACTTGTTTACTCCTGTTCTAACTTGAAACAGCCTGCTTGTTAACTGTTCCCCAAATCTGTTCTTGTCCGCACTGTAGCCCTGCCTTTCGGAGGTCTCCATAGGAGAAGTGGGGCCACAGGATGGACTGTGGGCAGGAGGGGCAGCAGGGGAGCAGGGCCATGCTGACTGCTCAGCTTCTCCTGTGTGAGGTGGTTTCTCCTGTTGTTTAGGGATGAGGAACTATGGAAGGACCAGGCGTGGGGAGGGGAGGCCTTAGCTGAATCAGTGCCGTGTCTTCAGTGAGAGGTCTCTGGTCATGAGAAGCTGAAAATCACATTCACAAAAACAAATCCAGGAGCAGGGTTTGAGGTGGGTGTTCCCTGCTGGTTTGGCTTGTATTCTCTCTTCGCTTGGGCTGTCGAAGTAAGAAACATCCAAACTGTAGAGGATTTTTCTAAGTTTACTTGAACCAAACTGGCAACATGGCAGGGGAGCAAATTCTCAAATGCTCCAGAAAATAAGTTTTGCAGCTTTTATATGTGTGGAATTAAGAAGGGAACATAAGATTACGTGAGGGTAGGGGAGAGCAAGACAGTGGTCAGATTACAGGACATACTTTAGAAGGAGAGGTCTGCAAGAAGGCATTTCAAAGATGTGTTAACCTAGAAACAGTGGACAGGCTGGCTTAAATCAAAGATAAGCCTTTTTATTAAAGTTACATCCCTGGGGTGTGACTACCCACCATGACTTGCCCAGTTAGGAATTTATGATCAGATCACCCTGTGAGGTTACTTTCCATAGAAGCCCTTTTCCATCCGCAGTGCCCAGGTCCTGATGTTAGAGTGAGCAGAGCTCCAGCCTTCCTCATACCTGATGCCCAGCACGTAGACGCTGAACGACTGCTCACCCCAACTCTAGCCCTTTTTCCCGCCACTCTCAGTGGACTGCCCCTGGTTGACAGTTTGGAGTGTGAGGTTTCACTGGGGGCTACTTTTTGCCTGTCGAGTGAAAGTCTAGATCCTAGATCCCAGACCCCAGCCTGGCATCCTGGGGACTCACCCCATTGGGACCCCAGGGGGTTTCCTGTCTTACCCAATTCCATGTCCTACGTTCTACTATCCTAGATTTCTTGTGATCCCCAAAATGGACATCCTGTGTCCTCCTCTTGTGGCTTTGACAGATTGTCCCCAGGTGCCTCTCCCTCTCCTTGAGAGGCTCCTGCATGTTCTCCAGGGACACTTTAGGTGACACTTGTGGCTCTTGTCTGCTGGCAGCAACTGGCTGCGCCTCTCCCCAGGCACTTGTCATTCTAGCCACTGGGGTGGGGCGGGGGTTGCACATGGACGGTGGTGGTCTGTTGTGTCACTGTGGACAGAGGTCCTTCCAAATGCATAAATATCGCTTTAGCAGTTCATGAAATCTTTGAAAATAATGGTCGTAATCCATATGATTTTTTTAAATTGAAATGTGGATAATCCTGATATAATTTTCAATATGATGGGTTATGCTTAACTGAAATTTGTGCAATTTGTTAAAATTGCTCCTGGTTTTGTTCTTTCAGATTCTGGATGAAATTGAAGAACATAACATCAAAATCTATCACTTACCCGATGCAGAATCAGATGAAGATGAAGATTTTAAAGAGCAGACCAGGCTTCTCAAGGTAAGAGCTCCAGGTGCACAGGGTGATTAATTCCTGCTTCCTGCTTCTGGCATTCAGAACGGGAGGAGTTGGCAAAGGGCCAGATCCTGGAGCCTTGACTTGGACAGATCATCTGGGCAGGTCTGCTTACAGCAGTACGTGACCTGACTGTCACTGGAAGGCTCAGAAATGCTGGTTGCAGGGTCACTTTGTTTCCATGCCGTCTGTCCTGTGTGGAAGGTGTCTGCCACTTCCAAGTAAAGTGTCCCTCGTTAGTTCTCCAGGTAATCCTGTGTTGATGCTCCCATGTTCGTGGTGAACTCAGGGGTCCCTATGTAGAGCCTGTCAACCCTGTGTGTCTCTTTCTAGGCCAGTATCCCATTCTCTGTGGTTGGATCCAATCAGCTGATTGAAGCCAAAGGCAAGAAGGTCCGAGGCCACCTCTACCGGTGGGGTGTCCTGGAGGTGGAGAACCCAGAGCACAACGACTTTCTGAAGCTGAGGACCATGCTCATGTAAGACGCCCATGCACTCCCCTTGGCAGAGCCTAGCGTAGAGAGCTGAAGTGTGCACGGCCCCATCGCACCTGTGGTGGGGCTGCTGGAGCATGCGGCAGGAGTCTCCCACCCATGGGCTCTCTGGAGCGATCTGAAGTAGCCCTTCCACCTGTGACCTGTGGCTCAGTGCACTCTCCTTCCTGATTGATCGCTTGGGTCTCTTTTGAGGCTAAAAGTAGACTTGACTTAAAGTGTGGGGTGGCCACACCCAGCATGGGTCGCCTCCTACTCCAGGAAGGTGCGGTTGGATTTGTCTTAGGGGCCAGCCGGGATACACTGCCTCTGCTGGTCAGCCTCAGGCTCCCTCAGGGTGGCCCTGATAGCCTAAAGGTCCTCGATTGAGTCCTAGCAGACAGAACAGCCCGGACTACGAGAACATGTCCTTTCCTCTGGAAGGAGATCCCCACATTCAGTGACACGGGCACTGCTGTCGCTCTTGAATGAAGACGCTCAAAGTATTGCTAAAGTATGTTAACTCTTTTTTTTTTTTTTTTTTTTTTTGTGGTACGTGCCCCTAGCGGGAACCGAACCCGAGACTCTCTGGTCCTCAGGCTGCCTGCCGCTCAACCGCTGGGCCAAACTGGCCAGGCTAAATTATGTTACTCCTGAATGGGAAGAGTTCAAACAATGACTGCTCTAGATAAACTTTGAATAACGAAGTCACTCTACATGCCACATGTCTCACTTGGTTTAGCAGTTTTAGTGAATTAAAATTACTGAAAAGACCATTACATTTACCATTCAAGCTCTGTTAAACGTGATGGAATCACCGTGGAAGACATCCAGAGTGCACCCCGGCTCCTTCAGGGATGGGTTCTCTGCTGTCATGACCCTGTTAGAGGTGGAGGATGTGGAGGCTGAAGAGGGAGCTTTGGTGTCATTTGTGTTTCTCAGAAGGAGGGAAAATGGGCCACCCCTCTGCCATCACTGAGTCCATTCCTTGGATCCCGAGTGATAGGAATATCATATCTCTATCCCTTGAGCGTTTACATTCTGGAAAAGACTTGGCCAAAAACCCAGGCATGTTTTATACAACAATTAGAAGATCCGAACAGCTGTTTCTGTCTAATCCAGAAGGTCAATACTTCATTTTGTGCTCTTCTCCATAGCTGAAGCTCATTGACTCTCCCTGGTATAAATTTTAGGCTTAGAAAGTTATGAATATTTGAACTGCATGTTTTCTATAAGTACTTTCAGAAGAGTGTGTTCTGTCTTAGACACTATTCACCTAAAACATCTCCCATTGTCTTTGCACATCTGGCCCTGTCCAGGGATGTTGGTCTCCTGTGGAGCTCAGCCATGCCTGTGGCAGAGGGTCCCATGAAGGGACTCTTAACCTGGCCCTGAGGGTGGGTGTGCTGTGCATTTACTGTGGTAGCAGGGAGAGGTACACCTCTATAGATGTCTCCATGGCCTTATCCCCAGATTCCATCAACTTGGTGTATAATTTACCAGGTAGTAAGTGGTTTTTTAGTTCCAGGGGTTCTTTTGTGTGCTTGGTTGGTTGTTTTCTCCATGCAAAATGGCACACACACGGAGCCAGCTTGGTGCTCTTCTCTCTTTCAGCACTCACATGCAGGACCTCCAGGAGGTGACCCAGGATCTTCACTACGAGAACTTCCGTTCTGAGAGGCTCAAAAGAGGCGGCAGGTCATTGTTCAAGTCAGGCTGTCCCTCTCTGTCCATATTTGTCACCCCAAGTTATACTGTCCCCCTCCTATGTATGCCCAGCTCTTCTTCCTTGACCTTGAAGCAACATGATTTGGTTTCCTACTCAAGAGCTATTATAAGCTCCTCATTGCTAATTTCATCAAACCATGCCCTTGCGTCATCTGCATGTCTGCACGTACGGAACAGCTTTAGATGGAAAGGCCAGAGGCGTGCATTGGGTGCCTTCTCAGAAGTGTAGTCTGTCTAAATGAGGACAGACTTAGGTGCCATTAAGAAAGTATGGCGCCCCACTAAAGGGTAGGGTGGGGAGCAGCAGGTCTACTCAGAAACACACATGGCCGCTCTGCCTTGATTCTTCCTGATGGTTTTTATCTGAGACCTGATTCATGTCTGATAAAACCACATCTACATGTAGAGCTTAATTAACCAGCGATATACATCATTCACGAAAATATTTTTTTGGGTTGTAGTTCATTAAAATACATTTTTAAAATTCGGTGAATATATGCATATATACAAGGTGTAAATTAAAGTCTACTTTATTGTCTTATTAATGTGGGGACCAGACATTAAGAAAGGTAGACGCAACAAGGAGATCCCTGAGGAGCAGGCGACTAGACGGTGACCCAGGCCAGCCTCCGTGTGTGAAAACTGTCCTCATGAGCTGGGGCCTCTGTATTGGCCCCTCTTCTTAGACCTCAGAGCCTTTTCCTTCTTTTCAGTATGATGGTCGTAGTCTGTGTTCATAAAGAATAACTTAAAAATCAGTATTCTTCAGAAAGTAGCTACTATATTTTGAGTAGGTAAAGGTGAAAATGTCATCACCCCAGCTTAGAGTATCTCTTGAATTTTCCATTTCATGTTGCTCTTTTTTCACCTTTCTTACCTACTACATGTCATTAACTAGAACATTGATGAATATGTATAATTTTAAGTAGATACATTTCTCAGAAATGTAAAATGAAATGTTACTTTGGTTATCTGTCATCAGAAACAACCAACTTGTATTTGTTGCAGTATTATAATTCTAATTTATTTCAACTCTTAGAAAAGTGGAAAATGAGGACATGAATAAAGACCAGATCTTGCTGGAAAAGGAAGCTGAGGTAAGTAGAAAATACCACTTTGAAGTCTAAAGCTGTTTATATCAAAACTAAATATAATTAGTTTATTATAGTTTTATATGTCTACATGTAATAATGTGCCTGTTGTTTTACATGCTCATTTAATCTCCCATAGCAATTTAGTGAAAAAAAATTGGAAGCAGTGAAAATTTAGTAACATGACTGATTTTATAATACGTTCATGAATCAGCTTTCCTTTACATAGATAATAACCAATTAGAAAGTAAAATGAGAAACTGCCATTCACAACCATTAACAAAAATTTACAAAGAAATATTTAGGACTTACATGGGGAAAGAAACTAGAAAATTACTGACAATTTTCAAAATTGTAAGAGCTACAACTCTTTGGGATGCTTAATAAAGATTTTCTCTAAATTACTGCAATTCCAGCAGAGTTGTGTGTGCTTGCTAAGTCTTTACTTGCGAGGAGAGGTTGGTAAGATGATTGTAATGTTTATTTTGAAAACTAAGGGAACACAGAGGAAGCTATGGGAGATGAACTAATGAGAGGAGGCTGTCTTTACTGCTCACCCTGAGGGGGGCTGGTCCAGGTGCGAGAGGCTGGTTCAGTGCACGTCAGGAACTAGGTCAGGAGGATGGCAATGTGCTCTGACGAGGCTTTAAGCTCTAGAGCTGTGGGATCCAGACATGCTCAGTAAGTAATCTCAGAACAGAACAGCCTTTTGGAAACAAAAATAAGACTCACTTCTTTGGCCAAGTTAAATCAATATAGAGCAAATATTTAAATGTTAAAAACTTAACCAAGCCTGGGCTGCTGTGGCTTGGTTGGGCAGAGTCCTGTGCACCAAAATGTTGGTGGTTCGATTTTCGGTAGGGGACCTGCAGGAGGTAGCCAGTCAATGTTTTTCACTCTCACATCGATGCTTCTCTCTTTCTCTCCCTCTCCCTTCCTCTATAAAAAAAACAAACAAAAAAAACAAAACAATAAAAAAATACATTTTAAAAAAGCCATAACCACGCCCTGGCTGGTTTGGCTCAGCAGTTAGAATGTTGGCCCGCGGTCCAGAGAGACCCAGGTTCAGTTCCCGCTAAGGGCATGTACCTCGGTTGCAGTTTGTCCCTTGCCCTGACTGGGTCGTGCGGGTGGCAGCCACTCGATGTGTTGCTTTTATGTCGATGTTTCTCTCTTTCTCTTCCTCCCACTCTATCTGAACAAAAAATGGAAAAAATTAATAAAAAGCCATAACCAAAAAGTTACCTGAAGAAAAATAAGGTAAATATTTTATGATCCTTGCAAGCCTCTGAGGTCTTTTAAGCACCGGGAAACAGCAGTGGTAAGCGGGGCAGCAGGGGTGCTGTGCACCTTCTCAGGCGAGGCCAGGGCTGGGGCCACTGGGAGCTGCGGTCTCTTTCCCGCCTTTTAGGATTAGAAAAATCGCTCTTTGTCTTGTCTTGTCTTTGTTTCTGTGTATGAATCATTTCTATTTCACACCTGAATTGCATTCTTATTATTTGCTAAGTTTTCTATTGAGTTATTGCTCATCTTCCTGGTTTGTAAGAGTTCCTTGTTAACTCTTTGTCCTGTGTTGGGAAAGCATAGAAGTTGAAATGTTAGGCTCCCCAGGACACCCATAAAGAATAAGGGAAAGCAGCCCTGGCCGGTTTGGCTCAGCGGTTAGAGCGTCGGCCTGCGGTCCAGAGAGACCCGGGTTCGGTTCCCACTAAGGGCACGTACTTCGGTTGCAGTACTTCGGTTGCAGTTTGTCCCTGGCCCTGGTCGGTCGTGCGGGTGGCAGCCACTCAATGTGTTCCTTTCACATCGATGTTTCTCTCTCTCTCTCTGTTCCTCTCTCTCTCCCTCCCACTCTACCTGAACAAAAAAATGGGAAAATGTCCTCGGGTGAGGATAAAAAAAAAGAATAAGGGAAAGGAGACCCTGCCACCCAGTGACGAGCCCCTGTCTTGTGCCCGCAGCTCCGCCGAATGCAGGAGATGATTGCCAGGATGCAGGCGCAGATGCAACTACAGATGCAGGGTGGAGACGGCGACGGCGCGGTTCACGGGCACCACGTGTGAGGTAGGGAGCCCGGAAGCAGCTTTCATTAGTTAGGAGTAGAAGTTTATTAAAGCTGAAAACATCTCTTCAAAGAGAATTTTAAGTGTTAAACAGCTTATAAAGATCAAAAAGCAAAGCTGGTGGCAAGATGGGTGAATTATGCCAGGTAGGCAGGTTACCCTGATTGATGGAGGTTGCTGATCTCCCCATTCCTCACCACAGCTCTGCTCCACTCATGGTAGCAGTGCGTCAGTAGGTGTCTGGCCTCCCTGCTTGAAGGGACAATACAGACCGGGGACGCAGGCCTGTGTCCTGTGGACAGGTGAGCACTCAAGAGTTGTTGACTAGCTGTTGCATCGCCTCTACAGGAAGGAGGAAGCAGTTACATGGTATTGGATAGAGGCAATTCCTTTTCTCAAAAGAGATGATTGGGGCTGGATAGGGTCTGAGCTGGCTCAGGTCTGGGAGGAGAAGCTGGGCAGCAGGGAGAGAGCGTCTGCGCTGCACGTTAGGGACCTTGCTGTAGAGGCATAAGGGTGTTGATGAAAACTGGGAGGGATGTGATGACAGGAGTGACTGGGGCCTAGCCAACACATGGCAGATTGATGAGATAGCAGGCAAGGACCCCAGAGGTCCACCATGATGGATGGACAGGTGGTGAAGGAAGGACCTGGAGGAGCATACTGGGGGCATTGGTCACCAAACAAAGTTCCTGCCCTTGTTTGCCTGATTGGGAAGGGTTCTAGTTTTATGAAATAGATGCACCAAAAGACACAAGTACATTTGTCCAGTGTAAACAGTTACTATCCTGAGACCGTTCATGTAACTCCACCTGGTCAGAGTTGGTTGAAACCTTAGCACAGTTCCAGCGTACATGCCAAGTTCACACCTTACTAGTAGATAAGGACATTGATGCTGTGCAAGCATTTAAAATTATTTGCCTGCAGTCATATAACTAAAGAAAGACTCCAGAGGCTGATTTTGCATGTTCAGGTTTGGTGCCCACTGGGAACCTGAAGATAAAGTGAAAGAAGTGAGGACTCTGGAGCCTCCATTGAGGCGGGAGGGGTCGGAAGGTGTTCGCTAGTTTCCTCTGACCTTGCTGTTGCTCTTTCTAAAACTTTAATTATGGAATGTGGGAAATTCTACTTTAAGTACATAAAATTGATTTAAATTTTTATATACTTTTCAGTTTTGCAGTCCTCCCAGTTTTGATTTCGCTAATAACTGGTCAAAGGAGCCCAACCACCTTCTGCTCACTGTGTGCTCTTTGTTATGCAGAAACAATGCTGTTGATGGTCAACGCAGCAAGCATTGCATCCCTTCCATTTACACATGTTGTGTTTTGTTTTTCCAGAAAACATTTTGCAAGATAAAACATTCCGGATGAGTAATACAGCTCTGTGCTATGTTTTCAAGACATTGTTGGAGAGTTGATCATCCATACTTCACAGTGCCTGTGTCCCAAGAATTCAAGTTTTTAAAAACTTTTGATGTGTTCTTTTGTATGAAGTACTTTTAACATTTGTATTTGTTACTAGAGGGGTAGACTTTATATTTTGTGAGTGAAGTTTGCATTTTCATTTTCTTCCACATTCACTAACCACTAATGTTAGAATTGATTTCCAGGGATCAGTCAGCATATATGTTACTGTGATTTGGCTGACCTAAACACCTAGGCATTGAGGAGCACTCTTGACTTGTTTCTAGAACATTCATATTTACCCTGAATGTTCCTGAGTGGTAGAGACATGGACCCAGTGACCTAGAAGGCACGGGGCCATTTACTGCCCAGAGCGCCAAGTGGAGATTCTTCCCTGCCTTGCTTCTGTTTGAGCACAACACCTAAGACCAGTTTTGCTGCTACAATTCTACCGTTAATTCATCTGCACGTTTATCTGTTTACCAAATGAAATAATAGAACTATCTAATAAGATATGTGCTTATACTTAAGTAACTTTCTTTTAAAAACAAACTTTTGGGTAAGTTTTAGAAGTCTTTGGATACTTATACTAGGTTATTTTTTAAACCGCTGGGCCATTGCCACAGGCACTTTTTGTAGTGCTCTCCACGAATATATTTTTTTAATCCTCACCTGAGGACATTTTTTTTTATTTTTTTGTTTAGGTAGAGTAGGAGGGAGAGAGAGGAAGAGAAAAACACCGACGTGAAAGGGACACATCGAGTGGCTGCCACCCACACAACCCACCCAGGGCTGGGGACAAACTGCATGCCCTTAGCGGGAACCAAACCTGGGTCTCTCAGGACCGCAGGTCAGTGCTCTAACCACTGAGCAAAACCGGCCAGAGCTCTCCACGAATATTGGTCGCACTCCTCTGTGGGAAAGTTAGAGTCTCCACAAATTCCAGTTTTGATATTGCAACTAAGATTCTTACCAACATGGTGAGAGTCAATTAACTATTTTTACTTGACTAAATTAAAAAATAACCTTTTAAGGAAAATTAGCAGTTGATTGTTCAGAAACTAACCTTTTGTATTTTTATGCTGCACTTTAATATATTTCTATAACTGCAGATGTAGAAGGTCTGCCTCAGGAGTGGAAATAGGGGTCCTTTGGTGGGTGGGTGGGTGGGTGCCAAACCCAGACCTATCACAGGGCCTGAGGCCTCAGCTCCATGAAGCAAAGTGCCAATCAGGTTTTCCTGATTTCGCTTTCCTTTGTTTCTTTTTTGAATGGTTTTGTGAAGGAGGGCAAATCGCAGTGGTCATTTTTTTTTTATGTGCAGACTGTCACCTATTTTCATCCACCACCATTTCCTTCATTGTGTGTAATACAGATTTCTCCAAGTATCGTGTAACAACGAAAAACATTTCAAATCTGCACCATGGGCTGGTTGTAGGTGCCGCCAGTGAGAACTGCTCCTGGTGGGTTTCCTGTGCTCCGTGGCCGTGGCTGTGGCCTTTCCCTTCCCACCTGGCATGTCTCCGTCCTTCACTGTCTGGCACTCACCACACTCTGAGGGTGCTGATGCTCCAGGGCCTGCTTTATTTTCAACATTGCTATTGAAGTTAAGAAAGTGGCAGGTGAGACCTGGAGGAAGCAGGTGCTGATTCACTATTTCCATTTTGCTACAACAGGAGGGGTTAAACAATAGAGAAAATGGCTTAATTCAAGAATGAGGAAGGTGTTTTTTTTTGGCCGAAAATGTGCTACAAAAGTGTACTACAGAGAATAACATGGTGTTCTTGCTAACTTGGCACTTCACTGTTAACAGTGATGAGTGCTGAAGAGCTTTGGGCTCAGGCACATTGTGCAGTTTTTATCAAGAAAAAGTGTTTCATGACTTGAGGGTACCTCCAAGGCCAATTGCTGGATTGTTTTGGCATTAACTGCTAGTGAAAGCTGTTTAAAGGGAGGCAGAGGGACATTTGCAAGTGGTCTGTGTGTTGGAGTGAAATTGCTTGGGGCTGGCTACCACCTAGTAATGGTTATGCAGGATGGGTGACCTACACCTTTACACTTTGAAATCTTTTTTCTTTTGTTGCTCAAACTGAAATTAATACTTTTGCTAATAGATAATTGTTCTTTTACTAAGCCACTTTCTTTACCTATAGAAATGTATTTTGAAAACATTTTACACAGCCATTTTGTATCCATGGAAACTAACTTTTTATCAATAAAGCTCTATTATTTAGAGGTTAAAGTAGTATTTCTCATTATTGGTTCTTTCCCAGGGAAAGGTGTAAGGTTTTCTGGGAAAAGTTCAGAGCCCCTCAATCATCCATGTGTAAATTCAGGTAAATTACTTGCATCAATACCCAACAGCTTTGTATTGGCAGTCCCAGCCCAAAGAACAGAAGAGCCATAAAGACTGGAAAGGAGTCATTTACGGGTGATCTGATTACCTACTTAAAAGTGAAAGAATGATAAAAATTAGCACTAGTAAGAGTTCAATGATGTCCACTTATTAAGAAATTTTACTAGGGCCCTGGCCAGGTAGCTCAGTTGGTTAGAGCGACTTGATGCATTCGCTGAGGCAGCAGCTATTAAATACCTGGAAATACAATGAATGACAGACAAATTTCTATTCTAAATGTTACTAACTGGTGAGGGGAGTTCTACAATTACACATTTTTAAAACCTGGACTGCAAGGCTGATTGGGGGTCTGGATGACGCTCGCTGTCCACTCCAGTGACCATACAGGACAGTCTGGGCCCCTTGCCATCCCCCTGGATAGTGAAGCTCCCACTTCCTAGTTCCATGCCCTGCACTCCCCTACCTCGCGCCTTCCCTCCAATCAAGCTACAGCCACGGGGTCACCCCCCTCTAACCAGACTCTAAAATGCGCGGTCCTCCTAGACTCTGCACCTAATGGGGGTCTAGAACGGTCTTCTCGCCACCCTGGACGCAGTGAAGACAGCCGCTGGGTTCTGATGTGGGGACTGGTAAGAGGGAAAGCCCTGAGGGGGCGTGGAGGGCTTGGACGACAGGCGGAGGTAGGGAGGGATCTTTGCCGAGCCTGGGACCTGAGGCCGCCCTACCGGGAGCTGCACTTACTCCCATCTCGGCTGTTGGGAAACGAGGGATCGGGCGTGGCTGGAGTCCGCAGCACTGTAGAAGTCGCCTGGAGGATGACCCCAGTTGGTTTAGGATTAATCCCCTCGACAGTCGCGGGTGCCAGGACCACACCCACCTCGGAGAGCACGTTGGGCGAGGCCTTGAAGGGTGGACAGTTCACCCAGCCCCTGGACTTGTCCTCCTGCGAGCCGGGAGGGGGCGGTGGTGTCGCGTTTCTGCGCCCCGGCTGGGAGTCGCGGAGCTGGAGGGGTTTGCGAAGAATGAAGGGCCTTCGACCTCCTCCAAGAGCGACCCACCCATCGCCGTCGCATCACATCCCCGTGTTGCCCGCGGTGCCCTCGGCTACTGTCTTCAGGCCCAGGAGTGCAATGGGTGGAGCTTAGCCAGAAGGATGGCAGACACCCGCTGGAGCTGCTGGAGCTGATGCAGCCCCGCGGAGGGAAACTCCCCGGCCTTTAGAGGCGAGGCCCCGCCCAGGACCAAGTTCAGGCCCCGCCCGGGGCCGAGTGCCCTACGCGAAGCCACGCCCTGGGGAGAGTCCCGCCCTGGGCAGAGTCCCGCCCCGCGAGCCAAGTCTGCTAGTTTGTATTTGACTGCGCGGGGTCCGCCCTCCCGCGTCCCCGCCCCCTCCCGGTCTGTTTACCAATCAGAATTCACTGCCGCGCTTCCAGAAAAGCCAATCGGCGGCGCGTCCGTGGGGGCAGGGGCGGGGCCCCGGCGGGGGCGGGGGCGGGGGCGGGGGCGGGGGCGCCGCGCGGCCCGCGGGCAGTCGGGAGCGGGCGGAGCCGGCGCTGTACCCGAGGCCCCTGCAGACGACGGCGCGGGCGGTCTGGCGGGTGAGACGCGGGGCTGCAAGGACGCGGGGGTGGGCGGTGGAAGTCGAGGGCCGAGGGCCTGGTCCCGCGGCGGCCCGGGCGCCTCAGACGGCGGTCCACCCGCGGAGTCTATGCCCGCGCTCGCAAGGCCTAGGACGGCCCCGTGCGAGGAGGGCCGTGTGGGGAGCCCACCGCCTGAGGCCCGGGAGGGACCCGCGTGGGGCTCTGGGCGGATGGGGCGTAGGGTGTCCCGTGGTGGGCGGTAGTGCCGGGCGTGGAGCCTCAGGTGTGCGCGGTGGGGCGGAGAGTGCCCCGCGCGGAGGCCCAGGTGTGTATGGTGCGGTGGAGTGTGTCCCGCGTGGAGTTTCAGGTGTGCGCGGTGGGGCGGAGTGTCCCGCATAGAGACCCGGGTGTGCGCGGTGGGGCGGAGAGTGCCCCGCGTGGAGGCCCAGGTGTGCGCCGTGGGGCGGAGTGTCCCGCATAGAGACCCGGGTGTGCGCGGTGGGGCGGAGAATGCCCCGCGTGGAGGCCCAGGTGTGCGCCGTGGGGCGGAGAGTGCCCGCGGGGAGGCCCAGGTGTGCGCCGTGGGGCGGAGAGTGCCCGCGTGGAGGCCCAGGTGTGCGCCGTGGGGCGGAGAGTGCCCGCGGGGAGGCCCAGGTGTGCGCCGTGGGGCGGAGAGTGCCCCGCGTGGAGGCCCAGGTGTGCGCCGTGGGGCGGAGAATGCCCCGCGTGGAGGCCCAGGTGTGCGCCGTGGGGCGGAGAGTGCCCCGCGTGGAGGCCCAGGTGTGCGCCGTGGGGCGGAGAGTGCCCCGCGTGGAGGCCCAGGTGTGCGCCGTGGGGCGGAGAGTGCCCCGCGTGGAGGCCCAGGTGTGCCGTGGGGCGGAGAGTGCCCGCGGGGAGGCCCAGGTGTGCGCCGTGGGGCGGAGAATGCCCCGCGTGGAGGCCCAGATGTGTGCCGTGGGGCGGAGAATGCCCCGCGTGGAGGCCCAGGTGTGCGCCGTGGGGCGGAGAGTGCCCCGCGTGGAGGCCCAGGTGTGCGCCGTGGGGCGGAGAATGCCCCGCGTGGAGGCCCAGGTGTGCGCCGTCGGGCGGAGAGTGCCCGCGTGGAGGCCCAGGTGTGCGCCGTGGGGCGGAGAGTGCCCCGCGTGGAGGCCCAGGTGTGCGCCGTGGAGCGGAGAGTGCCCGCGTGGAGGCCCAAGTGTGCGCCGTGGGGCGGAGAGTGCCCCTCGTGGAGGCCCAGGTGTGCGCCGTGGGGCGGAGAATGCCCCGCGTGGAGGCCCAGGTTTGCGCGGTGGGGCGGAGAGTGCCCGCGGGGAGGCCCAGGTGTGCGCCGTGGGGCGGAGAATGCCCCGCGTGGAGGCCCAGGTGTGCGCCGTGGGGCGGAGAATGGCCCCGCGTGGAGGCCCATGTGTGCGCCGTGGGGCGGAGAGTGCCCCGCGTGGAGGCCAGGTGTGCGCCGTGGGGGCGAGAGTGCCCGCGTGGAGGCCCAGGTGTGCGCCGTGGGGCGGAGAGTGCCCGCGGGGAGGCCCAGGTGTGCGCCGTGGGGCGGAGAGTGCCCGCGGGGAGGCCCAGGTGTGTGCCGTGGGGCGGAGAATGCCCCGCGTGGAGGCCCAGGTGTGCACGGTGGGGCGGAGAGTGCCCGCGGGGAGGCCCAGGTGTGCGCCGTGGGGCGGAGAATGCCCCGCGTGGAGGCCCAGATGTGCGCCGTGGGGCGGAGAATGCCCCGCGTGGAGGCCCAGGTGTGCGCCGTGGGGCGGAGAGTGCCCCGCGTGGAGGCCCAGGTGTGCGCCGTGGGGCGGAGAATGCCCCGCGTGGAGGCCCAGGTGTGCGCCGTCGGGCGGAGAGTGCCCGCGTGGAGGCCCAGGTGTGCGCCGTGGGGCGGAGAATGCCCCGCGTGGAGGCCCAGATGTGCGCCGTGGAGCGGAGAATGCCCCGCGTGGAGGCCCAGGTGTGCGCCGTGGGGCGGAGAGTGCCCCGCGTGGAGGCCCAGGTGTGCGCCGTGGGGCGGAGAGTGCCCCTCGTGGAGGCCCAGGTGTGCGCCGTGGGGCGGAGAATGCCCCGCGTGGAGGCCCAGGTGTGCGCCGTGGGGCGGAGAGTGCCCGCGGGGAGGCCCAGGTGTGCGCCGTGGGGCGGAGAATGCCCCGCGTGGAGGCCCAGATGTGTGCCGTGGGGCGGAGAATGCCCCGCGTGGAGGCCCAGGTGTGCGCCGTGGGGCGGAGAGTGCCCGCGTGGAGGCCCAGGTGTGTGCCGTGGGGCGGAGAGTGCCCGCGTGGAGGCCCAGGTGTGTGCCGTGGGGCGGAGAGTGCCCGCGTGGAGGCCTAGGTGTGCGCCCTGGGGCGGAGAGTGCCCCGCGTGGAGGCCTAGGTGTGCGCCCTGGGGCGGAGAGTGCCCGCGTGGAGGCCCAGGTGTGCGCCGTGGGGCGGAGAGTGCCCCCCGTGGAGGCTCAGGTGTGCGCGGTGGAGTCCTGCACAGAGCCACAGGTGGCAGCTCCCGCTGTGAATGAGGCCCTTCATGGCCTTTCCTTAAATTGTATCTTAAAGGTGGGAATCTGGAGTTAGGTATTGAAGTTTTTACTCCAATAACGTCTGGAAATACTGTTCTCCTAAGACAGTGGGGAGCCTTCCAAAGGAAAACCATGAAGAGTGGGACCATCACACAGCACCTTTTCACTTACCTGGTGCTAGGCAGTAATGGCTGTGAACAACGAATTAAAACAGGCGTGTTGGCTGAAATGATGTCAACACATAGTGTAAAGAAAGGATGGAAAGATTTAAGACCCAGGGCTAAATCTTTAGGGGTGGTTTTTCTTTCTACCTTAGTTCTGTTGCTATGAGATCGCTTTGGCTGGACCACTGTGGAAGTGTTTGGTAACCATCAGGTGGCCCTGGGTTACAGGTAGACCATTGCAACAGATGACACAGATTATCTCGATGCCAGCGAGGTGGGAAAAGACATCTGAGGTAGCGGCATGGAGGGACCTTTATTTGTAGGCCAGCTATAATTTGAATTTTCTGTATCTGCTGTTTTTGAAAAGTTTTTCTGAGTTCCTGTGCACTAAAAGGCATAATTCTGTGTTAAGTTGTGAAGCGCTTCGTGTCTGTTGTTTTATTTAGTTCTGTCAAAATCTGCAAAGGTATGGCCAGATTGCATGGCCCGTTTTAAAGGAGAGACAATGGAATGATGGGTGTGGGCACCCCCTCCCTCCCCCGCATTTACTGCCTGGCAGTTTGGACAGCAGTGCCTCCTGGCTGCACAGGTTTGCCAGCTCATAACACGGGCACTTCTTTTCATAGTGGACTTCCAGGTTCTTTCAGTACCGATTCCTTTCTCAGAGAAGTTGTTTGTATGACCTTAATTCATCTCTGCCTCAGGTTCCTTATTGATAAAATGGGGTTGAAATTTACCTCACAGGGTTGTTGTGAGGGCTGAAGTCAGTAGAAAAGCTGTTAGCCAGATGCCTGACACACAGTCGGTGTTAACTGATGTTGCCATTCTGTTCTCAGGTGGACCACGAGTCCGAGTAGACAGGAGACAGCTAGAAGTGGGCGGACGTGTAGCAGTTACCCTTTGTGGAGGGAAGGGTGGGCACTGGACTGACAAAGCAAAGACCGATGCAGGGATCATTCTTCGCAAACTCTGTAAACTGGTGTAGCCCCAAGGAATCCTGTCCTTCCTTCTTTCCAGACACGCCTACCCTCATCACGTCAACACCTCCACTCCAACAGTACCAAGGTTTTCTTATTGCTGCGTTTCTCCTTCACCCACTTTCTCGTCAGCTTGCCAGTGAGTCACAAGCTTCCTGCCACAGCACAGTGCTAGGTATGCAGGACAACCACAGTCACTCCAAGTTTTGCCTTGGCAACAGAGTGAAAAAGTGAGTGTTCCGCAAAAGTTAATATGAAAAGTCCCAGTGTTTGGGGGGTTTCTGGGGAGCGGTTACATTGGTGGTGATTCTGTGAGTTGTTCTAATCTTTTTGGAGAGCATCTAGCAGTATGTGATAAAGACTGTGATTTTGGAATCCCAGTTTTTAGAACAAACTCCAGTATGCAAGCCCTGTGTGTGTGGTGTAGCACTCCACATCCAATAAGAATGCTCTGGCAACCCGTTCCTGTCCACCCCTCTCGACAAAATTTGAACCAATCTGATCCGTAGAAATGTGTTCAAAAACATAGCCAAAAAGGCAAAACTGCAAACACAGCAGTTACACTGTTGTAAAAGTAGGTGAGGACGTGGACAAGGATCAGAAGGGAAGTTAGAATGATATAAGTAGTTTTATTTAGAGTCAGAGGATTATTTTCCCCTCAAGCTGGTCTTTGGTTTATAGCCATTTTAAAATTCAAATACAGAAAGTTACTGTAATATTGTAGGATGCAGTGATGACTTTCTCCAGCCCATCTCTCCCGGGCTCATCCTCCCCGTTGCTTCCCAGCTGTAGACCAGAAGGAACTGTGACTGCATCCAGACCTTATAGGCTAGGCCAGAACACCCCTCATTGCTCAGTAGTCCTGTGCTTGTGCTCTTTGTCCAGGTGATCTCCTGTCCCCTGCCAGGCCCAGTTCCAGCTCCAGGCCTGGGCAGCCTCTCTGGGCCAGGCTAGCCGCACCCCCCTCCCCCCAATGTTACCTAGTACTTTCTGCTGCCTGGTATTACAGTGGGGAGGTACTCCTGGCCACTTCCATAGCTGTCTTCTAGATGTTTGGCATCCAGGGGCCCTCAAAGCAGAGAGGAGACAGCACAACGTGGAATCAGGGTGGGGTTGAGACCATTAGCAGAGCTGAGTGACCATGAGCAAGTCACCTTTCTGATCCTGGGTTCCTTGGTCTGTGAATGGGATCATGAGAGTCAAAGGCAATGACGTGGAGGAGGGCATGGTGTGGGCTGCTAGTAGTGGCCGTCACTCAGGATGCGGTTGCCGTTGGAATATGCACCAGGACTGTCTTTGGGCCTGATGCCGATGCTGTCTTCTCATTGAGGCCTTCTCCCTCCCTCTTCCCATCAGATCCTGTCTGCTGTCTTTACTGACATTCTCCATGGACTCCTCGCCATTTAGCATGCTCTCTTCTTTGTAATCTTCCACTATCATGGAAAGGATTTTCTCTTTTGTGAAGTTCCGTATCCTTAAGTACTAAGGCTTGCTTGATACACACTAGGAACTCAATAAAATTAAGATTTCATCAGGGGCAAGGGTGGATGCAGGTTTTATGGGGCCTGAAATTTATACAGTTGGGGGAAGGGAGAGCCTCTTTAAGAAAAGAAGACAGTCTGGCCGATGTGGCTCAGTGGTTGAGCGTTGACCCTGCACCAATAGGTCGCCCGGTTTGATTCCCGGTTGGGACACACGCCCAAGTTGTGGGCCTAATCCCCAGTGGGGAGCATGCAGGAGGAGACCAATCAATGTTCTCTGTCATCAATGTTTCTATCTCTCTCCCCCTCGCCCTTCCTCTCTCTCTCAAATCAATAAAGGAAAAAAGAAAAGAATATAATGTTACAAATAAAAATTAATTTTGAAAGTGAATAATTATTTAGAATGAGGAAAAGCAAATAAGTTACAGATTTGAAGAATCTGACCAGTAACACAAATATCACTAAATTCCAGGAAGGAACATGTTTGTTAATTACCTGATATATGCTGTAATACTTTTTCTTTGAATGTGTACTTTTTTTTTTTTTAATCCTCATCCAAGGATATTTTTCCATTTGTCTTCAGATTGAGTGGGAGGGAGAGAGAGAAGCATTGATGTGAGAGAGACACATCGACTGGTTGCCTCCTGCATGACCCCAAACAGGGCCAGGGACAAACTGCAACCAAGGTATGTGCCCTTGGCCGGAACTGAACCTGAGACTCTTTGATCCGCAGGCTGACACTCTAACCACTGAGCCAAACTGACCAGGGCTGACTGTACTTTTTAATTGCTTCTTCATATGACAGAAAATAGAAAGAATTTAGTGATTCCTCTAGCATTGTTGATCAAAAGTTTTTGTTATTGATAGGATGCAAAAAACATGATTTCACATGTAGACATATTTGCTACAGGTTTGTGTCTTGGAAAAGCAGGAAATCTTTTAAATTCTGTTTTGCACGAGTCTGTTCAAAAAAGTAGAAAAGTCTGTGGTACATTTATTTATTTATTTATTTTTATCCTCACCCGAGGATATTTTTCCATTTTTTGTACAGATAGAGTGGAAGGGAGAGAGAGGAAGGAGAGAGAGAGAGAAACATCGACGTGAAGGGACACATCGAGTGGCTGCCACCCGCACGACCAACCAGGGCCGGGGACAAACTGCAACCGAAGTATGTGCCCTTAGCGGGAACCGAACCCGGGTCTCTCCGGACCGCAGGCCAACGCTCTAACCGCTGAGCCAAACTGGCCAGGGCAACATTTATAATTATACTACTACATGATCAATTTTTCTAACGGGAGCACTGCAGGTTTTCAAGCCGTGTTTCTGCCCACACACCTCTAGTCCAGCCCTGATGCCCCCACTTGGATGCCGCAGCCCCTACCTGGCCCTTCATCTCGCCTCTGGTGAGCAGGCAGTGCTGTAGCAGTGTTCTTGGGAGCCCACCTGCACTGAGATGGCTAGTTATAACTTACGTTACGTTTACACAGAACTAACGGCAGACAACATAAACGAACCCTGTAAGTCAAACTAAATGTCTCCAACGCATTGTGCCCTTGGCTGGAACTCAGAGATGCCGACAGCCCTCCTGAGGGACCTGCAAAGGGAAAGGGAGGAAGTGCAGAGCGGCAGCAGGCTCAATCCATTGCCGTTAGAATATTTTTTTAAATATATTTTTATTGATTTTTTTTTTAGGGAGAGAGAGATTGAAACATTGATGTGACAAAGAAACATCGATCGGCTGCCTCCTGCACGCCCCCTACTGGGGATCGAGCCCGAAACCCGGGCATGTGCCCTGACTGGGAATCAACCGGGACCTTTCCGTCCAAGGGACTGTGCTCAATTCACTGAGCCACACTGGCTGGGCAAATATTCTATTTGTTGCAAGTTTTACAAAAGACTGGAATTTTTCAGCTCCACTGAAAAATTTACATAGGCACACTTTACATGGGACCCTGGGAGGGGCCAGTACAAGTGAGGGGCCAGAAGTTAGAGGCAGAATAGCTGCTCTTGGAGAGGCAGTTTCTGGCCCTTTGCTTGGTGCCAGATGACACAGTAGAGTTCATGGGTGAGGTGACTCTGAACATCCTCCAGCCGCCAACGGCAATGTGTTTGGGAAGGAGGAAGCACAGTAGGCAGTTACAGACTGTTTAAATCGCTGGGTTATTAACACTGTCTGCCTCGTGATTCAAACCCAGTGGCTTTGATGGCAGTTAACCAGGGGAATGTTGGAGCAAGGCTCAGTACAGTCGTGGCTGCATAACAACCTTTTGTTCAGTAAGGGACTAAATAGACAACAGCAGTCCCCCAAGATTTCAGTGGAGTTGAAAAATTCCAGCCATCACAACATCCTAGTACAGCACACCTGTCTGTGGTGATGCCGGTGTCGACAACCGGCCAGCCATGTACAAGTCCAGCGCATGCAGCCGTGTCCTGGATGTGATAACTGAAAAGGGCAATAAATCACCATGCTACTGCTTCATGTGTTTACTGGGCTCTTCTCTTTATCATTGTTTTAGACTGTACTCTTCCTACTTATTTTTCAAAAGGTTTGCTGTAAAACAATAGCTGTGTTACACCGGCGGCAGCCTCCTACATCTGTTTACTGTCTTTGGGCATCATTTTCTCTCATGTTTGTCTAGTCTCGTGGTGTTTGTCCAGTAACGGGCTGTCCAGGCTGGTGGCCCCGGAGCAGTAGGTTGTCCCATCTGGTCTGTGTCAGTGCCTCAGTGAGGTTCACACAGTGATGAAGTCACTTGGTGATGCATTTCTTAGAATGTATCCCAGCCACTAACAGCACATGACTGTCTGAACAAGAAGTCAGTTCCGGGGTGTCTGGAAATGTCACTTTTCACGTAAGCGAACTGTTTCAGAAAGAAAAGCAAGCACAACCAGAGGCGACGGAGTTCTTCCTGCTCCCTCCGGGCAGGCGGGCCTGCGGCCACGCAGTAAGCAGCCCTTCCACTGGAGACTTCTAAGCAGGTCGCAGTTGCAAGCGGTCTGTAGAAAAGCCGTCTGATTTCAAAAGTGATGGCGATTTGAAGAGTACAGAACATTGGAAAGAAGGAAATAGAAACCAACCCTCCTCCCTCTCCCAGGGATACACTGCAGACAGGGCTTAATGCGCATGATGTCGAGGTCTGGGTCCAGGAAGGTGGAGTGGGCACGCTCCACCCTGCCTCGTCCACTGGCTGTGACCAGAGAGCCTGGACAGCTGTGTGGAGCTATTGGAGGACTCTGACAAGTAAATGGTGACAGGCAGATTGGGGACAAAGGCCAAAATTTGAGGTACCACCGCGCCAGTAGGGAGGTTCTTGTTCTTCCATCACCCCCCAGCCTGGTCTCCAGATATCTGAAGCCCAGAGGTGGGCACAGGTGTGGTGCAGAGAGCTGCAGGAGGGAGGGAGGGTGAGGAAAGCCACACTTGTCCCTCGGCAGCAGGAGCCTGCAGACACCTGAAACTCTGCGGGGGTGGGGGATCCCTGCTGCTTTTTCTCTCCTCCTGTGGCTTGATCCCAGATGGGAGTGGTCACAGGAAGTGCACAGTGGAGCAGGGTGACTAAAACCCCAGGTCTGTGGCTGGCGGACTGGGAAGGAGAGCCCCAGGCACCTGGAAGGTACATCAGAGAGATTGGGAGGAGGGGGAGCTTGGAAGTGCCCCGAGCATGGCTTATGAACTTCGAGCTCAGCACCGAGCTGTGCACACATGGGTCTGAGCCCGCGCAGCTTGCCAGAGACCTTGCAACTCAGATAACGGAAACCATGCTGGCAGTGGGTTGTGGTGCACCAGGAGGACAGCCTCCGAGGGAGAGCTGAAGTCGGCCCGTGGAAGCTGTCGGGACTTGCAGCCTGAACCCAACCAGGCCAGTGCCTGCCAGAGCAAAAGTGCAACCCTCTCCACGGATGTAAACGTCTCAACACCATTTCTTAAATGTCCAGGACATAATGCAAAATTACCCAGCATATGCAGAGCCAGGAAAATACTGCCACGTGAGAGAAAAGACAGGCAGAAGCCTAAATGCTGCAGTTGTTGGGATTACCTGACAAAGACTTGAGATCCGAGGTACGTACATGCCCTTAACGGGAACCGGACCTGGGTCTCTCTGGACCGTAGGCCGACACTCTACCACTGAGCCAAACCGGCCAGGGCCCGATCAGCACATCTTAAAAGCAGAGTTTGTCTTGGCCTGTTTGGCTCAGTGGTTAGAGTGTCGGCCTGTGGACCAATGAGTTGCGGGTTCAATTCCAGTCAAGGGCACGTACCTCAGTTGCAGTTCATCCCTGGCCCTGGTCGGGGTCGTGCGGGAGGCAGCCAGTCTATGTGTCTCTCGCATCGATGTTCCTCTCTCTCTCTCCCTCCCCTGCTCTCACTTTGTGTGAAGATAAATGGAAAAATATCCTTGGGTGAGGATTTTTTTAAAAAGCAGAGCTTGCTCCCCAGCTGCAGCAGCGGGATGGCTGAGATAGTGGAAGCATGAGAAGGATTCCGCATGCTGCCTCGGAAGACAGGAAGCCACGGGGTGCAGGCGGCCTCCTGAAGCCGATGGCCAGCAGGGACCGAATGAGCCCAGAAGGACTTCTCCCCAGAGCACCCACATAAGACCCTGGGCCAGTTGACCCCTTGACTTAGACCTTATGGGACCCTAGGCAGAGAGCTCTGCTGATCCGCACACACCCAGTCTGCCAGCCCACAGAAACTGAGATAATAAAAGGCTGTTATTTTAAGCAGCTAAGTTTGTGGTAAGTTGTTATGGTTGCAATAAAAAACTAAAACACACTTTAAAGCAGCTATTATTAAAATGTTCCAAGAAATAAGGGGACTCTTGAAACAAGTGGAAAGATAGGAAGTCTTGGCCAAAAAAAGAAAAACGAAGAAGATGTAAAGAAAAACAAGTCGGCATTTTAGAACTGAGAAATACAGTAACTGAAATAAGGTGGAGGTGACAAAGGAAACAGTGGATTTATGATGCACGGTGTTCAGTGTTTAAGGCACATGTTTTTGTTTTGTTTGTTTTGAATCCTCACCTGAAGACGTTTTTCCATTTTTTGTTCAGATAGAGTGGGATGGAGAGGGGGGCAGAGAGAGAGAGAAACATCAACGTGAAAGGGACACATCAAGTGGCTGCCACTCTCACAGCCAACCAGGGCCAGGGTCAAACTGCAACCAAGGTACGCACCCTTTGCGGGAACCAAACCCAGGTCTCTCTGGACTGTAGGCCGACGCTCTAACTGCTGAGCCAAACCGGCCAGGGCTGTTTTGTTTTTTTAATCTTGAAGAATTTGCCTCATTTTCTATTGGCCTGGGAGCCAGGATACTGGCTGTTGGTCTCTCCTCTCCACTGGTTGGAGGGGGGCCTTCAGAAGTGGCTTCATTCTCTAGCACTGCTTCCCAGTGGACAGGAAGGGCCAGGGCCAGCATTCCATTGTGCCGGAGCCTCACACACTCCCTGTCAGCTGGGCACTGTCCCAGGGTCCTTGGGTCCTTATATACATTGGAAATTGTTGCTAGACCTGTTTGTTTTTAATGTACGGAAAATTCCAAACATTCACAAAAGTAGATAAAATATATCAAACTCAGCTTCAATAATCAACGTATGGGCAGTGTTTGTTTGGTCTGTAGTCCCCTCCACCTCACTAGATTATTTTAAAGAAAACCCTAGACATTATTCCATGTTACCTTCATGTATACATACCATTAAGACACCTAGAAAGTTAACAGTACTTCATAATATGTAGGATACAGTATTCAAAGTTCCCTCATTGTTCCATAAATATTTGATTCAGAATTCAAATAAGGTCCACGCTTTGGCAGGTAACATCTTTAACATTTTCTATTCCCCCCTCCCCACTTTTTTTTTTTTTTGCCATTTATTGAATAAATGAGACCACTTTTTCTGTAGAACATGCCACATTCTGGTTTCATGTGTAATCTTTTAATCATTGGGGTACATTTTACTAGTGATGTACAGTCAGGTTACTGAGTTTTTAAAGTCACTTGAACTAATTCTCTTTGTAGTTCAGTGTACAGTTAGGATCGTCTATTTCATTGTGTTTGAGATTTTAGGGCTTGCTCTTCTAAAACACTGGTTTAATTTTGCTTTCTAATCGTGTAAGAACATTTACAAGGTTCCCAAGTCAACATGACTAAACACCATTTGTTAGAAGTGGTTTCCAGGCCGCCTCCCAACACTCCCCACCATAGGCACCTACCTTGTTGGTTTCTGGTCTATCCTTCTGTGGTTGCATATAAGCAAATGCTTGTGTTTATATTTATCCTCCTTTAACAGAAGTTAGTGTACCAATCACCTGCTCTCACTCTAAAGCAGGTGTAGACGTCTTCCTGCCTTTGTGAAGATTCTGATGGTAAATTGGGTGACTTCATGTCAAAAACAAAGTGTTGAGAATCAGGTATCCAGATTCATCTCAGCTCTTAAAACTTTATTTTTCATCCCCTGGCTGGGTAGCTCAATTGGTTAGGGCACCATACCTTTAAGGTTGTGAGTTCTCCTCTTGGGTCAGGGCAACCATGAATGCATAGATGAGTGTAGCAATGCCCTGGCCTGCTCGGCTCAGTGGTTAGAGCATCAGCCCTCGGACCAGAGGGTTGTGGGTTCAGTTCCAGTTAAGGGCACATACCTGAGTTGTAGGTTTGATCCCCAGCTCCAGTAGGGGCAACCAATTGATGTTTCTCTCTCTCTCTCCCCCTCCCACCCTCCCCCTCCCTCCCTGCCTTCCACTCTATCTAAAAATCAATGGGAAAATATCCTTGGGTGAGGATTAAAAAATAATAAGTGGAACAACAAATCCATGTATGTCTGCCCCCCCATCAATAGTTTTTTTAAAACTTTATTTTTCAGTTAATAGAATTTTATTTAACATAAAGTCAGAATACCTGATAGTAGAAGGTCAAAATTTCTGACATCTATTCAGTGTTCAGGCAATTTCTTAAAAACCTAGGAAGTAAAAGTAGAATTGTAAAGTTTGCAAATGTTGGTCATGTCTGACGTCATCTCTTTGGACCATAATCTGTGTTTATATTGTGGTGCTGAGTTGGTCTGAAAGTGACCACCCTCTTCCTGCAGACATGCAGCCGCTATTTCATGTGCCGAGGGAGGAAGGATGGGCTAAGTGACTTTATGAGGTTTAGTTCATTTTTGCTACTAAATACTATAAATTACGTGGAATGTAGATGCATCTTTCAGTTTTTTCACACTGAGTTGTCTTAGCACAGAATCACGGGGTCTTATTAAATTTGAAAGAGTCTGACCACCTTGTCCCTCCCCCATCATCCTCCAGAATTACAGTAGGGCTGGGCATGGTGAAGTGACCGCATTTTTTCGTGGTCGAGTTGGACTTAGACCCTGGGGACGCTGCCTCCAAACTTCCAGCCTCAGCCCCAGGCTACTGCTATGTCCTCCCCATTTCCCACAAGTTTCCGAGTGCCTGCCTGATCATTTGACCTCTCACCACAGCCTGGGAGGCACCTTTCTGTTTGCGTGAGCTGCCCTTCAACACCAGAGGTGTTTGAGGTTGGTGACTGTGCCTGCCATTCCTGGTACGTGAGGGACAGCACTGTCCAGGATTCAGTCCCGAAGCACCTGCGAGGTGAGTTCCACAGCACCCTTTCTTCTCCCAGGTTTTCGGCACTCGGGGTGGTTTCTGTGGCTTTCAGCAGACGGTCGTGTCCTGGGAGGAGGTGTCTCCCCAGCCAGCCCTGTTCCTGCGGGTGGGTGCCCGCCGGCCCTCCACTGGCCAGCCATTTGTTCCGCATCTGCTCTGTGAGACCTTACCTGGCAGTGCAGGTTCTGACAGTTTTCCTCCAGTTTCTTACCTTCACTGAATTATTTAGTTGCTTATTCTAAAACCTAATAGCCACGCATAGTAGAATGGGAATAAAAAGGGTCCATCTCTTGCTACACCACATTAAAGAGGTGTTGCTCAGGGTCGGGAACCCCAACTCCATTTGAATGTCACGCGCACTAGTTCATTCCCCCACTGCCATGGTTTCGGCGTGTCAGGACGTCGGTGGGATGAGTGCCGCACTCTCCGTCCTTGCTGGTCAGTGTGGAAGTCCTGCAAGTCCTCACTCAGTCGTCGGTAGGTTCTTGAAACTGCGGCATTAAGAGAAACACGTAAATGAAACCAGTTTTACCAGCAGCTGATGGTGTGAACCAGAGTTAACTACTGCATATTCCTGGTCACAAAAACATCACCAAACTTCTGAATAAAGACCCCAAACACTTCTAATATTAGACATGGAAGTAAACATGCGCTACATATACATTTGAGAAAGATTAATACTAAAGACAAGATAACCCGCTGGTTTTAGTTCAGGTTCCTGGGCGGCTGGAGCCTCTCCCGGCAGCTCAGGGCGCAAGGTGGGACCCACCACAAAGTCAGGGACAGTGTGCACAGGGGAGTCCCCTCATGTGCATCCTTGGGGTGTGGGAGGACTTGGAGTACCCAGAGGAAACCCACAGGACACGGGAGACCGTGCACACTCCACACACACAGCGGTCCTGCCGGGAATCAGTTTTTTTCCTTGTCAACATTACAAGGCAATGACATTGTCTGAGGAACTGCTGTATGTTTTCTGGTCCTCCTAAAAGAAGTCACCAAAAATGTTTCCCGGAAGGTGGATTTTTTGCACAGGAGAAATTTGAGCCAGCTGCCTTCGTGTGGTGACAGGCTGCTTTTGTCTGGGGAGCCCTGAGCTGGCTCCCAGCAGATGCTGGGAGGCGTGCTGGCCCAGTCCGGGCTGAGCTCCAGGCCTGACTCTGTCACTTCTGAGTTATGTGCTCCGTGGCATACTTTTATTTTTACTAGACTTTATTTTTTTAGAGCAGTTTTAGTTCACAGCAAAACTGAGTGAAGTTACAGAGATTTCCCATATGACCCCCCTCCCCCTTGGCACAGCCTCTCCCTTTATCAGCACCCACCCAGGCCCACCAGAGGCGACATGGTCCAACCCGCGTGGATGTGTCATCAGTCAAATCCTTGGCAGACTTCTGAGCCAAGGTCTTCCAACTTCAAGGTGGAAGTATGTCTCGAGGTGGCTTTAAAACTTCTATTAGATGAGTACGTGAGCCTAGGAGCCGAGCCTGTCATAGGCAGCGCTGGATGTCAGTGGTGGGAACTGTGTCCAGCCACCAGCAGTATTTTTAGGGGTGAAGACCACAGAGCATCCCAGTCTCGTGGAAGGAAGACGGGAAAATGAGCCGCAGCCCCTCGGAGGTCGCTTCCCTCAGGGTCTGGAAAGGTTCCCTGGCCGGAGACCCTCACATGTCACGGGCTGGTAGTGACCTTGCTGGGTCTCTTTCTAGTCTAGCTTGCATATTCTTGCCTTTGCAATATCTGTTTTTAATATTAACAAAATGGAACAAAGTAACTTATGTAGATCATACTTTGTATGAACAGTTCAGTGCAGATACTTTCCCGTTATCGGGCTGGAGGAAGTCATCGACCTGAGTGAGGAGCCTCAAGGTGTCTGCAGGAAGTGTCCAGTGAGCCCTGTTCTGAGATAGACGGGTGGACTGTGGAACAGGCTAGCTGATGTTCGCAGCGCTGGGGTCACAGGCCAGTTGTCTGTCACATTCCCTACTTTCCAAGCTTGCTTCAACTTATGGCTGAGTAGCTAGTGAGCGGTAGTTCATACCACACGACTACTGTGTCACAGCAAATAGATTTTCTTTGGAACGTCACAGCAGGGCCTGTCATGGGGCGTTAACTTTACATGACTCTGTCTTCCTCAGATGACCAGAGCGAGTCTCTGGCCTGCGTCTCAGCGTCAGGGTGTCGATGTTAACAGTGGACCAGATGCAAGTTCACTGCTCGGAAGGGTTTCCTCTTGGGAGCCGTGTTTTAGTATTTCTTGAGCTAGGAAAACTCTTTCATTTGTCTGATAGGCCTTTTGTCCTTCTTACAGATGAAGCGATGTTCAATTAAAAGTATGCTGTTTTAAATATATTTTTGTTAAAAAATAAACACAAATATAGAGAAACCACATGAATCAGCTGTATGGCTTAATGAATTATGAAGCGAACGCTGTCCCGGTCAAGTAGCAGAGCGGAGCCCCTTCCTGTGCCCTCCCGGTGATAGGTCCCTCCCGCCAGGAGCCACACGGCCCTGACTTCTCTAGTGACCACCTCCTCGCATGTTCTCAGTCTCGCCCGGTGTGCCCTCTGGACACTATGATGGTCTTTCTAGGCATTTTCTTAGAAGTACGTGTGTAGACATGAATTTCTTATAATGAATAGAAAAGAAAGAACCTGAATAAAATTTTTCCATCTAAAATTACTAAGAACTATACAATGGAATAAATAACGGAAGTGACTTCTAAAAATATATGCTGGTTTATATGTTTTCAGAATTGTGGCTTTACGTAATGGGGAAGGTCAGCTTTGGTGCCCAAAGTAAAACACCCCCAGCTTGTTCAGAGAAACCTGCTGTTGGTGGTTCTGTGTTCCCCAAATGTTGTGAGCTGACCAAGCGCTCACTGCTCCACACGGGCTGCCTTCAAGGTGGGGTCCCTGCCGACATCCCCTCCCGTCTGCACTGACTACTCAGGCCTGTGACACTGAAATGAAAAAGCTCGTGTTTGTGGCTCTCAAACTGTTCATCTCAGGTGCACTGTTGGTGGTTTCCTGAAGCGGCGGTCGGGGTGTGAGCCCTGTCTGTCTCTGTGGTCTGCACAGTGCGTTGCCTCGTGAGGCAGCCCGGGTTCTTCGATCCCAGGGGCACTGAGTCAGTACTTAGCACATTTACAGTGAGAATTTAGTTCCTGCTCTTGGGCATACATCCTGGAGAGAGACTTCTGAAGATGATAGGTCACTGCTGACCTGGCCCACACGGGGCCCAGGTGACAAGCGTGCTGTGCATGAGGGGAGGCGGTTGCTCAGGGTCCAGGACCTGGGTCGGGGGGGTGTTGGCAGCAGGACACACCGCCTCATCCTGTGCCCGTGTGCTCCCCGCTCCGGGGCTGTTGTGGCCTCACTCTCTGCTCGCTGTCTGGTGACGCCAGCGTGCGTAGAAGCTCTCGCCCAGGTGGGCTGGGCAGGCCGCCCCTGCTGGGCAGGGTTTAAGTGGACAGAGGGCGTTGCCTGATCACTGAGAAGGTTTTTTGACTTAATTTAAGACCTAAAAAGTTCATGCGTTTTTCCTGATAACAAACTGAGCATGAAAAAGAGGAAAGGGCCAGAGGATTCAGCAGTGCAGTTGGCACGCAAGGGACGGGACCGGGAATTCAGGGAGGTCAGACTTCTAAAATATCGGTCGCATCCTCGTAGGAGACCTCGGAAGATGACACGTGGAGTGAAGTGCTGAGGCGGCACCTTGTCTCCAGACCACACATCTGTGTTCGTGTTTGCCAAGCTGTGTTTTGCTGTCGAATATGGTTGAGATGACTTTCAAGCAAATACATACATTTAAGAAGGAAACTTGTCGTAGATAGAAGGTAACTATGTCAAATACAATTCAAAGCCAGTCTTACTAGATTCTGGAGGATACTTAGCCTGTTCTTTATTTAAAAAAAAACAAAACAAAACATGAAGAGATTAGATTATCCCTGTTCAACTCAATAGCTTAAAAGCTGAGAACTTCCCTGGAGCTCCAGGAGGGTTAAAAAGGGCGCCCAGTGCTACCCCAGCCACTTGGCCCTCTTGGACCCTCATTGTTGTTATCTCTTAAGTGGCCGGTGAGTGGTGGTTGAGAGCATGGGGAAGGTGAGCACTTTCCAACACCAGGTGTGTGGTCCCGGCAAGGCTCACCCAGGCTCACTTTTGTACTGTGCCTGAGATTATTTCCTCACCACTGGTGGCCCCCACTGCAGCCTGGGGAGACACACCCTGCAAAACCAAGGGCTGCAAAGCTAGCAGAGACAGGCCTGGTTGTCTTCAGCTACTGTCCTTGGAATTTTCCCCACCTGTCAGCAGAGGGGAGGAGCCTGCTGAGTGCCACCTGACACATGTTGGTGCTGGGTGGCGTGGGACCCGTTACCTGTGCTGAAGGCCGGCCTGTTTACAACACATGGCCAGCACAGTGGGGGTGGCTGGCAGAGCCTGAGAAGGACCAGCCCTGGCAGCCTCTTGCCCTCTGTCCACAAGTCATGGTGAGGTGGCTCGTGTGGGAGCTCAGATGCCACCTGGGAAATATTATTGGGGTTGCTTGTTGTATTTTCTGCTCCACCAACCAGGTATGAGTAGAAGGTCGTCTTTTTGTTGTTGTTAATCCCCCCCACCCAGGACATTTTTTCATTTATTTGCGGACAAAGTGGGGGAGAGAGAGAGAGAAACACGGATGTGAGAAAGACACATCTAGTGGTTGCCTTCCGCATGACCTCGACCAGGGCCCGGGACCTAACCACAGCCAAGGCACAACACGCCCTTGACTGGAATCGAACCTATGGCTCTTTGGTCCTCGGGCTGACGTTCTAACCGCTGAGCCAAACCAATCAGGGCTCCATTGATGTCTTAGAGTGGAAGGGAGGGAGAGAGAAACATCAGTGTGGGAGAGACACAGCGATTGGTTGCCTCCCGAATGACCCTGATTGGGGCCAGAGATCAAACCTGCAACCCAGGTACGTGAGACCCTTTGGTCCATGGGCCAGTTCTCTAACCACTGAGTCAAACCTGCCAGGGTGAAGATAGTCTTTTTTTAGGTCTGTTTTTTGTTGTTGTTTGTTTAACTTTTTTTTAAATCCCTGCCCGAGGATATATTTTTATTGATTATTCTTTAGAGAGAGAGTGGGAGGGGGAGAGAGCAAGAGAGAGAAACATCAATGTGAGAGAGAAACAGTCAGTTGCCTCACCTATGTGCCCTGACTAGGGATTGAACCCACAACCTAGGTATGTGCCCTGATCGGGAATCAAACCCGCAGCCTTTTGGTGTACGAGACGACTGTCCCACCAACTGAGCCACCCAGCCAGGCAAGTCTGTATTATTATGCAATTTAAGACTCATTGGAGTTGCAAAAATCATGCAGAGAATTCTTGTGCACCTGATCGTTTCTCACATTGTTTTAGTATCTAAGTAGCTGGTGATGATTCTTTGGGTTTTGTTTTGTTGTAGTGCACTTCTCACTCTTAGCTGGTGAAGAATGGGGGAAATAGAAGGAACATACCGAGCCTTGCAGACCCCAGGGGCACGCCTGGGAGCCCACCCCCCCGAGGGAGTGAGCACCCTGGAGCCCGGGCAGGCTCCCTCCGCCGGGATGGCACGGACAGCGGCCAGAGCACAGGAGAAGCGCTTCCCCCTCAGAGTGAAGCTGCTGGACAACTCCGTGGAGACGTTTGACATCGAGGTAAGAAGTGTGGTGTTTGGAGGCAGAGTTCCTTGTGTTTTCTGAAAGTGAAGTGTTGTGTTCCCAGTTACGTTCTGCTGCTTAGGCTGCTTATTTATGAAGCTGACCAAGGGTGGCTTTGGTACACCCAGCAACGTGCTTGCAGACCGAGGACCTGCATTTCTCCTTCCAGTGTGGAGAGTGGGACCCTCCTGTCTCTGCTGTAGGGTTCTGATCATGTTCTCTCTGCATTCTTCCCTTTGGGGAGGCTGGCTTAGTGCTGTGGGGCGCACGCTGGGGCCTCCACCCCGGTTCTCCTGGCTCAGCCACTGGCTGCCTGGGTGGGGGTGTCTCTCAGCCTCATTACGTGTCAGCTTCCTAGTCTGAAATGTGGGGGTGGCTGGGGGTACTGCCTGAGCACTCACCATGCAGAAACCCGGACGGGAGGCACTGCACAGTCTCGGCGTGGGACTGGTTTTTCTAGGTCAGCCCCGATAACATTTGTATTTTGAAAATTCCCTAACATTAGATTGAACTGATAATGTTGGTACAAATAATTAAGTACATGTATCGTAAGGAACAATTTTAGAAAACATTAGAAACATTAGAAAACATTTTCTCTGATTTTCTAAAGGACATTGGAGTGAATGTTTTTACGTTAGTTCACTTCCAAACGCAGTGTGTACACAGACCATCTTCTACGTACTTCTGTGCTGACTGGCAGCGGTGTCTTCAGAAGCTCTCCTGCTCTATGCCACACCAGCAAGGACGAGAACGAACTTAAACTTTAACAGGTTTTTCTGTCAAGAAGTCAAGATATGACACACAGACCATGAAAAGGGTCCGAGCTGTGGGCCAGGCTGTGAAGGGGGCTCCAAGAGACCCTTCGGCTCTGGTGGGGCCTCGTGCAGGGTGCACCGCAGGGGAGAGGGGAGACAGCCCTGCGAGGCAAAAAGGGACCGGCAGGGCTGCAGGGAGGGAGGCTGGCCTCTTGCTTGGAGCCTAGGGCCCGTCAGCCTCTCGCTTGGTGCCTAGATTCAGAGTCTGAACTCGGGACCCTGGGTGCTTCTTTGAAGGTCTTATTTGAGGAGGACATCAAATATCATTTCATCAGGGCAGAGGTAACCGAAACTGGCGGGGACCTGTCTGTCCGACTTCACAAGTCACTCTGGTGTTGCAAGAGGCAGCCTCTGCAGGGAAGGCAGTCTGGCACTGGCAACCTTTGACCCCAGGAGCCAGTGGGGAGCCATTGGTTCTGTGACAGCATTTCCTGGCTCACAGAGATACCCTCTCGTGAGTCACCTGTAGGAAATAGGTTAAGATCTGGGAATTAATTGGGCTCCCAAATCTCTTTCAGGCATATGTTTAGAAGAATTTTCATTATGTAGCTATCCTATGCTTAACACCTCCATTGTGGTCTAGGCTTGTAACAGGGCCCCAATTTTAAAAAGTGAAAGAAGAAAGAAAGAAAAGAATTGCACTGCAGGTCACTTTTAGAGCATCTTTTTTTTTTGGCCCTGCGTCATGGTCTTTAGACCCAAACAAGAAGAAAAGCACACGTTTATTGTTGAATCATAAATAGAATGTAGTCTTCTGAAAAATTCACTTTTACTAAGCATCTGGGTCATTCTATACATGAGGAAATGAGAGTTGACATTTTGTAACGATTTCAAAATATTGAGAGCTTGTAAAGTTTAAATAAATTGAGATTGTTGTTTATATTAATCAAATACAACCATCATGTTCAGTATTTGGATATACCTGGAGAGTCACCAGAAATTAATCAGATTCCAGAGCCTGTCCCAAGGTGGATAGGTCACCTCTGAGGCCTTTGGAGGGTTCAGATTCCGGAGCCTGTCCCGAGGGGGACAGGTCACCTCTGAGGCCTTTGGAGGGTTCAGATTCCGGAGCCTGTCCTGAGGGTGACAGGTCACCTCTGAGGCCTTTGGAGGGTTCAGATTCCGGAGCCTGTCCTGAGGGTGACAGGTCACCTCTGCGGCCTTTGGAGGGTTCAGATTTGCTGGTTTGTGAGTTAGTTGTATTCTGCTTCCAAGTGCTCTGTCCTCCACAGCTGCATCGGTTAGCTTTGCTAAGTGACAAACCACCTAAAACCAAGTCGCTTAAAGCACACATTTGCTGTTGCCTGCGTGTCTCTGTGTTGGCTTGGAGGTCTTCTCATCTGGCCAGCTCTGAGGGCTGGGGGTCTGGGACAGCCTTGCCTGCCCACAGCCTCAGCTGGAGCCTCCCTCCTTGCAGCCTACCCCTGCAGCAACAGCTTGGCCTGGCACACCTGGTGAGGAGTGAAACTGTCAGTCCCTTGAGGTCTAGGCTTGGAATTTATGTGTCATAGCTTCTGCCAGGTTCTACTGATCAAAGCAAGCTCCCGGGCCAACCGGATTCACGAGTGGAGAGGCACAGCCACCATGACGGGGCGTGCCAAGGAGCTGTGGCCTTTCTCGGCTACCGCAGCAGCTGTTGTCAGTGGATCAGAAATGCAGGCTTGGGAAGAAGACTGGCTACACTCAGTGCCTGGTGTCAGTGGGCCGGGCTGGTTTTCCAGAAGAGGGACACGCCTCGTTGCCCTGCCCTGGAAGCGCTTCCTCCACAGCCCTCCGGAAGGGGTTGGCCCGAGAAGGGAGGTGTGCCCTGCTCCTTTGTGCCCCCATGTCTCCCATGGTCGCAGCTCTAAGGATCCCGAGGCCAAGCTGACCACCTGCCTGGGCCTCCCATCCCTCCCTCACCGTCACTCCTCACTGGTCACTGTGTTCATACTTACCTCTCCTGTGTATTTGAGTCCTTTAGAGAGAGGAAGGCAGAGAGTTAGCAACTATTTACCTCCCATATGCTCCTCGACTGGGGATCTAACCCAAAACCTGGGTGTATCCCCTCATCAGGAACCGAAACTGCCACTTTCTGGAGTATTGGACAAGGTTCCAACCAGCTGAGCCACCCAGCAGGGCTTTTAGAGAGAGAATGAGTAAGAGTCCCTCCTTTATAGTCTTTGTATTTGAATGGAGAGAGATTATGGTGAAGTGACATCTGCTGTTGGCTTGGTGGGATGGCGCAGGGCGTGGGCGGAGAGAGCAAGGTCCCGACTGGGTGGATCTCTGGGCTGCAGTGAGGACACTCCCTGTCCCAGAGTTGACCTGAGGTCTCTCCTGGAAGGCAAGTCCCAGGAGGCAGGGCTTTGTTCATCCACTGCTTTGTCGTCAGTGTTGGGACAGGGCCTTGCTCTGCAAATACATGCTGAGGGAGCAAAATCAGAAGTCAGGTTGGATTAACATGCTTTAAGAGTGTTTGAGTTCCCCTCTGCAGCAGTGTTTCTTGACCTCGAGTCCTCGTGTTTCGTCTTGTTTGTCCTGGGTCTTTAGCTATCTACATCCATGTGGTGTCTGCTGGTTTGGTTTACTTTTTACTCAAGTCTTGAGCAGCAGAGTCTGTGGACGTGCAGGGTCTGTGGACGTGCGGTCTGTGGACTTGCCTTCTGTGGATGTGCAGTCTGTGGACATGTGGTCTGTGGACATGCAGGGTCTGTGGATGTGCAGGATCTGTGAACGTGCCTTCCGTGGACGTGCAGGGTCTGTGGACGTGCAGGATCTGTGGACGTGCAGGATCTGTGGATGTGCAGTCTTTGGACGTGCAGGATCTGTGGACGTGCAGGGTCTGTGGACGTGCAGGGTCTTTGGACGTGCAGGGTCTGTGGATGTGCAGGATCTGTGAACGTGCCTTCCGTGGACGTGCAGGGTCTGTGGACGTGCAGGATCTGTGGACGTGCAGGATCTGTGGATGTGCAGTCTTTGGACGTGCAGGATCTGTGGACGTGCAGGGTCTGTGGATGTGCAGTCTTTGGACGTGCAGGATCTGTGGACGTGCAGGGTCTGTGGACGTGCAGGGTCTGTGAACGTGCCTTCTGTGGGCGTGCAGTCTGTGGGCGTGCAGGGTCTGTGGATGTGCAGATGGCACCTTGCAGAGCCCTGGCTCCGCGCACAGGTGGTGACAAAACCCCAGCCTTGTGGGGGGGGTGAGTCGGGTCCCCTACTTGAGGTCGGAGGTTTTTACTTAAGGGATCTTTTTAACTTAGGGAAGAATTTGACATTTAGTTATTTTTGAAATGCCTAAATTTTGCTTCAGTGAAAATATAGAGCAACTTGGCCTGAAGACCTTCTCGTGACCATGTCTGTCTTTCCACGGAGAGTGTGGCTGACTGCCTCATGTTTGTCCTCGGCACCTAAGGCAGCCTTGTTCTTGCTCCCGAGAGGTGGGCTCTTTGAGACCCAGTTTTCAGGACGTCTGCCTGTGTATGCAAATGAATGTCATGTGCTCTGCATGCCGACTGGGGCCCCTTCGTTGTCACCTAGGGAGAGACAGGCATCGTGCTGCTTTCTCGAGAGCGGTGTCCACACAACCACAGGATCACCGCATCTGTCGTTGGCTCCAGCTTTCCATCTGGATCCAGACGACACATGCCTGTTAGTTCTTGGTGACAAAGGCGCAAAGCCAGACACTAGAGTCAGCACTGAATAGTCACTGTTGAAGGGTCAAGTCAAGCTGAGAATGTTTAGTAGCCTTATTGAGATAGAATTCGACCACCATACAGTGCAGTCATTGGAAGTGCACGATTCAGTTTTTCAGTCCACTCACAGATGGGTGCAGCCGCCACCAGCCGGCTTCAGAACATCTTCATCGTCAGAAGGAAACTCCCCGCTCTGGTGTCGCCCCCTGTCCTCCACCCTCTCCCTCAGCTCTAAGCAGACAAACGTCTACTTTCTGTTTGTGGATGTCAGTGTCTGGACATTTCCTTCGAGTGGGAACACGTGGTCTCTGGCTGGCTGCTTGCACCGAGCACCAAGGTCATCACTAACATGTAGCACTGCTCGTTCCTTTTCATGGCCGAATAATACTCCACTGTGTGGACGGACCATACTTCCCTATCCGTCATCAGCTCATGGACAGGCCACCTTTTGGCAGTTGTGAATAACACTCTAAATATTCGTGTGTGCGTTTCTGTTGAGCTGTACACT